TTTAATTTCACAAAATTGATTTTTACCATAATACAAAAATCAATATTTGAATGCATAATGATGATTTTAAAATTAATCTATATATTTTATTTATATTCGCTTTTAGTCTTTTAATCAAATATTTAAATGAAATGCTTGCATCAACTGAAAAATCAAAAGCTTACTTCAATTATTTCAAATCAAATTGCCATTCTTACGAATTTAACATTCCATTAACTGAAATCGAACCGAACGACACATAAAATTCAAATTTTCACAACCCACATCCCTTTTCATGAAAAATAATTAAAATTGTAAATATCTGGAAAATGCACGTGTACTCTCACATTCAAGTTACCAACTATCGTTCTTTTTTTCGTTCTTCTTCTTTTTGAAAAGTTTTTTTTTATCTTTCCATTGAGCACTAACTATAGGATTAAGTGCTCTCATGAAGACTCAACACATGCTCAGACTCTCGCTCACCCTCGTGTGACGTTACTGTGTGCTTCGAGGTGGAAGAAAAAAAAAACGACGGATATCCGTTAAGTTTTCGCTTCTGCAAGGGTTGAATGTTAAAGGGTAAAATTTAAGGGTTAATACATTTTACCTCTAACAGGTGGATACAATAAATAATTAATCACAGTAATATTATATCAACTATTAATTATAATCTTAACTTGAATAAACTCAAAAATTTAATTTACAAAATACATACATAAAAAAAAATTCTCAAAAAATATAAGATAATTTTTTGGATTTTTGAAATAATTTTATTGATGTCTCAATTTTTATTTTTATCGCGATATTTCGATAAAAATCTAATGGCCGTATTGCGATCATGCCGGATAGTGTTTTTATTGCCAACACAACACTATGTGTACTACAAGTACACAGCCCATCATTCTATAGATGTATACATATAACATATACACATCATAAACGTGGACGTGGACGTAGATGTGAATGTGTATATAAATGAGTTTATACAAGAGCAGAAAATGGTAATTGGCAATTATCTAGCGTTACTGAAATTACGGCAATTTCATTTTCTCAGCATTTTAACTGTTTTGATATAAACGTTAAACTTCCTGAAGTAGTGTACTTAAAAAAAGTATCCCTTTTGCGCCGTTAACTAAACGGAGTAGAAATTTATAAACAATTATTTTAAAAATCCAAATCAAATGAAAAGTCATTTTTTGTTATTTCCAACTTTAGATTTCACGTAGACGTCTTAAATCACCAAAATTGTCAATGAAGAAATGGATCAAAAGTTAAAAAATATAAAAGCTTGAAAAAAACATTAATTTTTATACTGTCTGTTTAATTTAAATTTCGGTATTTCGAACCAACCTAAAAGAATATATACACTATCTCTAACTATATATATATATAACAATGATAGAGCTTTTTCTATTCGGTTTTCTATTTTTCTACTCGTACATCGTAGGAGCGTTGAATAAGGGCGTGCCCCTGCTTCTCCCCTTATATTGTTGTGTATACAAAGGTTTATATGTATATATGTGTATATAAGTAGGTACACAGTCGGAGAATATGCGCAGCACTCGCATTTCCTACGTTGTTTTGTAATGACCAAGAAAACTAATATAAACACCCAAATTCCATATAATAAAGTTCAAATTTATAAATGTCAAATAGATTTTCTCTTTATCCTTTAATCTCTTGTCATTCAAATATCCGTATATATATTAGCACCCAGAAAAAAATAAATGTTAATGGATACTCAGATTCTTAATCATTTTTAATGTTTCAAATAGTACTTTAGATTCTGGGGTGGCATTTTAATTTTTTTGACATGTACATCTCTAATATTACTGTTTGAAATAGTATTTACTATCTATTAATTATTTTATTTATTAAAGTTCTTTTTTTTGGTGCATAACTTGAGTTATTAATAGTTATTTATATCGATTAATAAATCATAAATGAATGTATTTATACACATATATCTCCATAGACATATATTGGTTATAAAAGAAAAAATCAATTAATAGTTACTTAAAAATAAACAAACGTTATTTAATATAATATTCTAATAAAGGAGAAACTGTACGCTTTACCTCGTCTTCGCGCAATTCGACATAAAAATAAAACTTTAGCAATGCAAATGTGACATTCAATTATTGGAGAAAACGCCTCTTGTATTTTACTTTCCTCAACTCTATTCGGTTGTACGCTCTTGGTATATGCCTCCAAGGTATACGAAAAATCTAAAATAACGGAAAACTGAGAAAAAATAAGAATTAAAGTATAAATATAAAAACTCCAGAATAGGAATGAAAGAAAATAATAAGTAATAAAAAATAAGAAATATGTAACGAACGCGCCCTTAAGAGATATATATATATATATATCCGCGTTGCCAAGTAGCCCGTTTACTTTTTTCTGCGGGAAAAATGAATGGCAATTATTTTTCATGAAAGTTAGTATAATAAGAAAGAAAAAATAAGTCTCGTCGCAAACCTCAAAGTATACTCACGTCCGGTAAAAAAAGTTTTTCCTCAGAGTTGCTCTCGAACCCAAAACTTTTTCCGCTCTTTTCTTTCTTCTTTTTTTTTTACATTTTTTTTTATTTTTGTATTTTTTTAGTATACAGTTATAGTTGATAAAAAAATATACTCTTAAGTCTCTAGCAAGACATCAGGTTTCACACGCAATACAAAATCCCCTCATAACTATACTACCCCATATCGCTATTCTCTTCTACCCTCTATTCTGAATCAGAAGCCGTAAATACACTAGTACCATATCTAAATACAAGAATATATATGTGTGTATATGTGTATGAGATATATTGTGTTAAATAGTGAGTATGTAGTCTAGTGTCATATCTCCATACATCGCTTACATTTGCCTTGTCTCAAAGGATTTTACTTTGCGTACGTGATATAAGCGGTATTCTGTGTATAACGTCATCTCTATGTCTACGTCTACACCTATGTCACCATAGTATTAGTTGCATCGCAGAGTAGTAGATGTGTTGAATTATACAAGCGATAAATACACAACGCCGGAAAGGAACACTCCGACGTTCGTGCATCTATATATGATTTCCGATCACGTATGCTAGAAAATTTGTTGATACGGTTGAGTTAACTCTTATCTGAAGATAAAGATAAAGAGCAGTAGAAATGAGATTAAATAAAATTAAATTATATGAAATGGAATATATAAATGTATGCATGTAAAGATGAGAGAAGACTAATTAGCGCAAACTTCGTCTCTACGTCCGCAACTTAATTTAATGAGGGATGAAAAGAGAAAGATGGCGGACCAGATGGAGCTTATATTTTATTTCAATGTAAATTGTTACTATAAGCACAAGTCCAATATATCTCGACACATACTTTTGTTCTCTTTTATTAAACATTTATGCAATGCATGTATAAATATTGGACTACTCTACCTTCATTTTATCTTCATTAATTCCATTTATTTATTAATTAGACTAATTTTCAATACCTTGTTTTTCGTCATATAACGATAACTCGCTACATGCTATGTTAATTAATTTATTCGCTAATAGTTATCTAACCATTCATCGATGACAAAACGGTCATTCATAGTTTATTTTTTTAGTTTGATGATTAAATATCTAAATAGTTTTATCAGAATATAGCATAAAAACTTTTTTAACGGTTAGCATTGAATGTTATTTTTTTTTTTTTTTAACTTATCAAGTTTTAGATGAAGGTGTATTTATGAAATTATTAGATAAGGTAGTAGTGATTTTATGAGTGCTTAATTATAAAATAAAATTAAAAGTTTGTCGAAAAAAAAAAGTAAAAGAGGATCAGCGAAATATATGTGTAAAACGGCTTAACTGGTACTTGTATAGGGTTGAGAAAAAAAATATATGTATATATACGTAAAATAAAATAAAAAGAGCAAAAAAGATGAGAGCTTTTGCTCTTGGGCTCGTTACGAAATTGCGAAGAGAGGATCGAGTCATCTTTTTCCACTGAGAAAACATAGAGAGAAATATATATATATCTAGTAAAAAATAAATGGAGAAAGAGAAAACTCGATTGGAGAAAGAATAAAAATAAAAAAAAAATTTCTTTTTATATACATATGTATAGATATAGACGATTTCGTCTTACGCTCTGTTGAACCGTCTTCTTCATTATTTACTATATGTTCTAAAGGATTGGTCATAATAGAAATTTTTTATTGAAGAATAATACGATGATTAAAGTTAATAAGAAAATAAACAAAAACAATAACAAATATGGATTTTATTAAATAGCAGTTTTAATAAATATGAGCCCAATTAGTAACTGTAATAACGTTTGAAATTTTGTTCGTATAATAATATTGAGAAAAGATGTTAATGTTAATATGCAATTTTTTTTTATTGCTAATTGCTAATTGATTTTTTTATTGATTTACTATTACAAAATAATATTAATGAACATGATAATTCAAATCGTTCGTATACTGATTGAAAAAATTAAATTGATTCAAGAGGAAAAATCTTGAATCAAGAGAATCGTTACGAAGGAGTTGTTGATCTTAAATTAAATAAAAAAGTTCTTGAACTTGGAAATTTTTTTTAAATTAATTCTACTTAGTTCAAGGATTTTCTACTTGATTCAAGATTTTTTCTTTTTTAGCCAAGGTCATTTTTTTATAAGTGTACAACGTTAGCAATCAGAAAAAATTTCATTTACTAAAAATTTGTTTTACACTATGAACATAAATAATAATAATAATAATAATAATAATAATAATAATAATAATAATAATAATAATTGAAAAAGTAGTGATTATAGCTTTTTTGATAATTACAGAAGTTCGAGTGGCCGAAGGGACGGAGGAAGTAAAGGTCTGCAGGGAATTGAAACCGCAAGAAGAAATAAGTTGTGAAAGAAAATAAGAAGAATTGTGAATTACGTTCAAAGGATAGGATACTATTGGTTATAGGAAATACTTATTGGCAGTCTGGAGTCTCAGAGGATAGGAGGACATAGCTGGCGTTTGACATTTAAGCGTAGTTGCTGATGTCCGCCACGAGTCCTGTTATTGTAGCTCCTGGACGGTGCTCGCGGCCACGAGACACACCGGGCTCCACAATCATCAACTTTAAGAACAATCACACTGATTCGTCAACAGTGCTTAGGTTGCCGCCATTGCTGGGGCCGTGCCACAGCTATTATTGGTTAATTACATCTCTAAAGTCCTCAATATTATTCAAATTATTAAATAATAAAAATTATCACGAAGTACAGTTGCTGACATACTTAAATTGCATACGATACGACTCTGAATGTCTTCGCACATCCAAAAGTCGTGCGTGGTAAGAATTATTATCATTACTACTATTTTTTTTTTTTTTTAGAATATTGTTATTATTTTATAGTTTGTTTAAAATTTTGAATTTTTTAAACTTTATTTTACTCGCAAATAAAAAAAAAAATTGGCAAAGTGAAGAGAGATTTTAGATTTTTTTTATTTTTAAAGTTTAAAAAAAATGAAAAGAGAATGAGTAGTAAAGAGAGAAAAAAACGTGAGAAAAAAATTAAAGAAAATAACATTGCGAATTGCCGAATTTACCGAGTTGGCAAACGTCGTAGTTTTCAAACGGACGGACTCTCGACACGAGCCCGAGACGAAAAGTCTTATGTTCGGTGAAACTTTTAGAATGAGAAAAGTTAACGAAAAGTTCAATTGATCTTACTGGTAAATAACTGAGACAACAAATGATGATTATGATGATAATAATAATTATTTTTGCTATTATTATAGTGGTAATACTTCATGTGTACGTTTATTTTCTCACTTTTTATTTTCTCTGAAACTAAAACTCTTTTATATATTTATTGCACGTGATATATAAAGGACAAATAATAAATATAATTTTTTCTCTCAACTTTGTTCAATTTTTTCATTTGTATTGACAGTTTTCAGTTGTCGCTACATCTAGTCTGGAGAATAAATTTATATACATTTTTATTATTATTATTATTTTTTCTAATTCAACTTGAAAGTTTTCTCGCACTACTTTCTGCACTAAAAAGATGGAACATTACACACATACATAGACACAAATGCACTATCGAAGTACTCTAAAATTGTTGGTTATTTTCTTTTGAGATAACATAAATTCGCCCTGAACTTTAAAGGAATCAAAATGAATAAAAGTAAAAAATGATAATTTTTACTTAGATTACTTTATTTTATTTTATTTATTTATTTATTTTTTTTTTTTTTCAATCATTCTATTATTTTTACTTGTGATCTCTGGTGAACTATTGATTTATTCTTGAGTTAAATGAAATAAAAAGAGAAAGAAAATAAGAAGGAAAAAAGTAAAATTAATCGAAAGAAAAGCGTGTAGCGCTGCCTGAGTAACTTAAAAGGATACTTGAAATTTTAAATTCCAATGACATTAAATCGAATTTAATAAAAAATGGAGTTGGAGAAATAAATATGCATCGGCACATTGAGTGAATTGGAAAAGATGAATGAGTTAGTCTGTACTAGTATAGATAAAAGAGAGATAGTCTAGGTCTGGGGGGGAAAAAAAAAAAAAAGCTAAAACCAAATAATTGTCACCTATTTATCATTTTAATCATCTCGACTTATAACTTAGGCTTGTTCATTTCAACTTATTATTGTTTCTGTTATTTTGTTGAATGATAAAAAACAAAAACTCTTGTCGATTCAATCTTAAAAATTTAGTCTATGTTTTTTTATAGCGTAATCTCACTAAAGGATCGGACGGCTCATACAATGGATTATCATGGTAAAATAAGAAGGCAGCATTTACACCGCAAGAAAATAACTACGTACACAAAACAATCATCATTATAATGGTCCCATTTTTCGCGGTAGGCATTAATATATTTTTTGTTTTCTTCTGTTTGTTTTTATTTTATTTTATTTTATTTTTATTTATTTATTTTGTTTTTTTCTATAAACTCTTCATTTGTTATTGTTTCAAAATTATTATTTTACATTTTATTGTCTACTGATATTAATAAAATTGCTTCAAGAGCTACAAAAGCAGCCACTTGAGCAACACGAAAAACAAAAACATCTTTATCGTGAATTATAAATGATGATAATAATAATAATAATAATAATAAAAATGACTTAGTTACATTGCATTGTCAATATATTACTGTTAATACAGTTAATTCTGCGTAAGTTAATAGATAATACATTGTTGGAATTCCTCAAATATAATTACAAAGTCAACGAAGCTTGAATTAGTAAGGATCTGAATTTGGTATTTCATTTCCAAATACAAAGTTGTCAACTAAAGCTCGAGTAGTACAACTTGAGTGAGCAGTCGTAAGCATTGAATACGACAAACAGTAAACACTAGTTCCGGTAATTTTACTCTCATCTCAACAAATTTTCTTATCTCTTACTCTGTTGCTCTTTCATCCACCTTTTCATTCTATTCACTTTCAAATAATATAATACATCTCTCAGTACACATTTATATATGTATACTGTACAAACCGTACCTAGTGTACATACTCACACAGTATTTGCTCTTTAGAATCTGTCTCTTGTTCTGTACTCTACTTGTGAACTCGATGCTGTACCGTTGGTGATTCCCGAGGTATAAATTTCGCTAGCTTTGACGCACTGATGTTTTCTCTAGCAATTCATTATTTCTGTCGAAAATAAGCAGATCTATCTACTACTAGTTGTGGAGTTTTATATTACTTATGACTATTTTACTCAAATGTAAATATGGTGTATACACACCAGTCAGTTACTAGTGTGTGACTACTGTTAGGCCACCTACGAATCTTGATTATGATGGTTTCGCTGGATATCGATTATCGATTAGCAAAGTGTACTCGGTTATTCATGCTATTCCAATAATGGCTATCTCGACGTTGTGCAATGTGCAACATCTATAAATTCCCTTCGTATTCCCTATTTTAGTTTACCTCGGTCAAGATTGCACCAATAAATTTGATTATTTCAACGTTTGATTTTCTACAATATTTTTTATTTTTATGATTTTTATATTATTTTTACATTTTTCATTTATTTACACAGTTCATTGTTAATGCACTCATTGTTGCTATTCACCGCTTATTATTATTTATTTTTTATGTTCATTGTTATTCAGATTTATTTGAAGGAAAAAAATAACAAAATAATGCTTTATGCACTGCAAAACAATTCAATGGTAATATGAATCACTGTTATTAATTAATTTTTTTTTACTATCATTTACTCATGTCTAATTATCTTCTGCCGTGTATTTGAATAATCCGTTATCATTCATTTTATTGAAATATTATGTAACATTTCATTTTTTTCACTGACGTAAGTAATTAAATCTGCGCTAGAAAATTTTATAAAATAGTTTTAATTTAACTTCTAATTATCCTAGATGTAATTAAAAAATATCTTGAAAATCATAAAGACATGAAAAAAGTTATTTAAATTCTAATTAAATTTTTAGTATTTTTTTACATAACATTTAATTTTTATTCATAGGACATAGAACATAATTTTAATATTTGTCCTTTTTATTAACTGTTATTGTTATTATTATTATTATTATTATTATTAATTGTATGTCAATAGTTATAATAATAATAATAATAATAATAATAATAATAATAATGAGCAGAAAATCATTATCTATGATTAATTCAATTTGTAAATATTTGTTATTAATTGATATTGTGGTTCATATTATTGTTGAGTTTTACTTTGTATTGTTAATGGAAATCCCCTGCGTTTCTTCAAATATGCTGAAAATTCATGGACCAGTATACATCCGTAGATACTCACGAATATAATACACAAATAAACTAGTCATATAGATGGTACTGAAAATAGTTCACCAGAATATTGCTATCAGAGATAACAGATGAGTTACATATGTATATAAAAATACTTATGTATATAATAAAGTGAAAAATGTTGGTAAAAAATTTTATATTTACAAAGGAAAACTTTTTATTTTTATTCAATTAGTTTTACCGCTGAAATTATTCTTCGAGTAAGCAGAATTATTTATTTTGTGAGATAACGTTTTTTTACATTTAATTTTATTACACGATGTACTTTACTAGAGCGGTAAAATTATATTTATTTTAGTAAGATATAATTAATGTTTACCTATTTATATTTAGATTTTATGCTTTATGAGCTACCGAAAATAGACGTATAATTAAAGTGACATTTTATTAGATAGTAATTTAATTATTGCGATGAAAAAATACTTACAGTCTTTTTTATCATTAAACTTTGTATTATAATTAAAACTCGTTTTATTTGTATCACTTTTTACATTTAGTGTTTTACGAGTATGATTTATTTATTTACTTTTTATGCTATAAAAAATAAAAAGGGTCAGAATTTTTATTTTATTTTACAATTTTACCGATACAAAAATATTTTACTACAACAGTATAAAACTAAAGCTTAAATTTTTTATGAGTAAAAAAATTTCCAGATAAATAGTTGATTGAGATTAAAAATTGTAATATATCAATACATTCGTTAAATTTGATATAATGAAAAATTTATTTGCATCGTTATATTTCGCAACAACCTTTCGTTAAATAGCATTATCAAGTTATCGAGTATATTAAAATATTTGATGAAATAAAATTTAATTCATATCCTTGGATTTTTATAATATAAAATGATAATATTTATGTTACAGCTTTTTAATCAGTATAAAATAATATAATACTTACTGACAATTTATAAATGATTCAAAGGATACATATAAAATAATTTCCAATAGTTCAGTCTTAATATCGTTATATTTCAGGTCAGGAAATTCTGTGGTTGACGTGAATGTTATTCCGGTAGACAACACACTGCACCAAATAATACTGATTGAAATAGACGACTGAGTATATACAGTATAATATAGTACATACTACATATATACATACATACATACATACATATACATATACATATGTACTTGGTAAACTCTACAATGACATATTTAAGTATCAATCATGTCATCTAAATTACAATTTATCCGATAATATTTTCATTAATAAAAAATAAAATTATGAAAATTTTATTGTCAACAGTTATAATTTATGATTGTAATAGTTTATTATTTTTATAAATAATTTTGTCATAGCCAATTAAAAAGCAAAAGTTAAAAATAACTCAATCTGGTCGTTGGTCAAATTCAAAGGCAGATTTAGTAAAAATTATCATTATCATCATATCTATTATAAATCAAATAATCGATAATGTATATTTGAAGAGTTAATTAAATAATTATTCTCTCTTCATGCAAGCTTAATTATTATTTCAATAGTTGCATAGCAATAACATATTTAATTTTTGATGTATAAATTATGAATTTATTATACCAAAAATGATTGGTATTACAAGTGTAATTAATTTAATTAAACTGGAATTTTTAATCTTGACTTATAAAGTTTCTATCTCGTATGATGCTGTAAAAGCACCTGTTTTAATTCAGTAAAGTGGTTGCTTCTTTTCTACGATTACGATACATTACAATCAACATCAAAACACTTACAGTATGCATACTAAGTAATATCGAGAATTTTTTTTTTTTCCAGGTATTTATTTGTGATAATTGATGTATTCATTTACTTTATTTATTTACATTATTTTTTTCAGTGCTTTGGTTATTAATGAAATTAAAAAAAAATTAACGTATATATTTTATAAATTATAATATAGAGCTACAAGTTATATTTAATATTTAAATTTACTTACAGGGGCTTGAAGCTACTTTAAGTGACAGCAAAAAAAAGTACGGCGACAAGGTGGGTGCACTTCTGTCTGCCTGGGAGCATGTCACCAATTTCATTTCTACGGCAAACCCAGAGGCCACCCAGTCTCTCATAGAATGGGTCCACAAGTAAATTTTTTATTATATTTATTAGTTTATGAATTTTTATAATTTCAAGTTACTAAGAGCTTTTAAACCAATGTTTTATAACTAACCACAAGTATGCTTTGTAAAACTTTTTTATTTATTTATTTTTCTTTAACTTATTAGAACAGTTGACTAATTCGTTAAAAAAATAATTATTAATTATTTTAATATTAATTAATTTAAATTTAATAACCGACAAGATTTCTCTTATAACTTAAGCTTATTTTAACTATTATCGTACTAACTCGTTACAATTTTTCATAAACTAAAATAGTTGAAAATTTGAGTCTTGAAAATATCCTACAAGATTTGACTGACTCCATAAACTTTTTAAACATATATTTTTTTTTAACAATTAAGAGTTTAGTTAAAATAATTTAATAAACTTCTGTTAGATTTTTGCTGTCAATAATTTATCTTCATTTATTATCGAAAAAAGCGTAGTGTAAAATTAAAAAAGCCTATTTCCGGCACAAGATTTGAATTTCCTTTCATTTTTAAATATTATTTTTAGTTATTAAATTTTTTTATTTTCATCCTGTAATTATTTGATTTGTTTATTTAAAGTAAAAAATTTTTCAAATATCTGTTAATTTTTTTAAGGTAATTTTTCATGACAATAATGGTTCAAAATGTGGTTTCGTTAATAGCTGAACATATTGAATCACTAAAAACAGAATAGCTTTTATATAATATGAATATTAAAATAAATTTATAAATTTTTTAGACATACGTTGACATTGGTATTGCGCGGGGAGTGGCCAAAGCTGTCACCTGCTACAAAAACACACCTCAGCGTAACGTTGCAGAGGTGTGCGAGTCACCTGGTGCACCATCCGGTCGCGTCGAGGTGCACAGCCCTCATCGCGTTGGTACACAATCCATGGGCTCATCCAGCACTTGACCGCATACTTAATGGCCAACCAGATCCTGAACATGAAGAAGGTAAATAATAATATTAAAAAAAAAAAAAACTTATTTTGAATCTGCCATACCATTAGATCAATTTGTCACCTTACATTACATTTAACAACATTATAATTATTTATATCTAATGACTAATTCTATCAAGTTTTATTATTTCAACTTACCGTTCAATCGTTAAAACAAATGGTATTTATATCTCCGATCATGAATCATTAACGGTTTTATAGTCCATAGATTCATAGTCATTAGATAAACGGCGGATTTATGAAATAATATTATTATTATTATTATTATTATTATTATTAATATTATAGTCAGTAAAAATAATATTTGAACTTATATTTTCATTGTTTTGTAAAGACTTTTAATTTAAAGTTTATACGTGACTGAGTTTCAATATTAAGTACTTGAATTTTTTAAATTAAGTGAACTTTGATTTAAATTTTTATGAAATCAATTGGAATTTTTTTCATAAAAGTTTTTAAATTATATTTCAAACTTAAAATAAAATATTTATTTATGTTATTAAGTATATGATATTTGAATGAATTAATAATGATTTATTTTTAATTATAGAATTCTGTTGCTCGGAAAAAGGCGAATTGTTAACAATGCGGTTGAAAATTCTCTGTGAAGATCGCTGCGAGGACATTGCAGTAAATCTTGCAGCAGCTTGTGTCCGAAGTCTGCGAAGAAGTGATCGATTACGTTCACTGTCGGATCTTCATCATGTTCACTTTATGATTGACGTATACATTGTCCTGTTGTACAAATTAAAACGCACGCAAGATATATTCGCTCAAGTAAGGATAATAATTCTTATATATAGTATTAAATTAAAAATTCCATAGACATATTCATTGTATTTGTTGTTATTATTATTATTATTATTATTATTATTATTATTATTTCTACATAATATCAAGATTATTAATAGTAAGATAGATATTTATTTTGACGTAAGAATTTAATATTAAAATATTTATTTTATTTTTACAGTTAAAATTAATGGACCTAAATGATGGATTAGAACTAGTCCAAAGATTAAGCGGCGAGAAACCAATGAAATACGGGACTGCGCGTGTTTGGCGAAATTCAATAAAAGCCGCCGAATTAGTTGCTCAGTATCTTGTAACAGCGGGTATGGTTAGGCCCGTTAATGAAACTAGTGCAAGTGTTTTAGAACAAATTCTTAACTCCTGGGCGTGCTTACATGTTAAGCTTAAGGCAACTGATCCAAATCTACCGGGTATGATTAGAAAATTAATAGAAAATGCTGAAAGTGCCCAGCATATTTATTTATTTTGTGCTGTTTTACTGAAACACGTGAGTTTATTCAATAATTAAATTATTTATAAATAAACCAATACCATTATTATTGATTAATTAATTAATTGTATTTCAATTTTCAGTTTGGAGATAGTATTAAACCATTGGCTATTGAATTATACATCAGAGCACTTACAGCAGATATGAATGAATTGGAAACCCAAAAAATAAAGTCTGATATTGATAATGTACGTGAAACGGCAAAACGTTTGAGTACGCAATTTCTAAAATTGGCTGATGTTGTTAATAATAATATTGGTATTGCACGTGAATGTGTATTAACCGCGTTTTCGTTAAATCCAACGCGCGCTTGCTACGATAAAATATGCGAATTGGCGATAGCTTGTGGTAAAGTAACACGACTAGAGAGTCAACCTCAAATTCACACTCTTGATGAAGAAACTAAAGAAGATGAAGAAAATGAAAGATTGTCAACAACCCCAGTAGAAGTAGCAACTACAACATCGACACCAGTAACTATCACGACTACAACTTTAAATAAAATGGATGACAACTCTCAATCAGATAATAATAAAACAAATAATAATACTACTATCGCTACTAATTCAATAATTGAATCACAATTCGAAAATACAACAGATAGTAATATTAAAATAGATCTTAAGGAGGGTAATAATAAACAAACACAGCAGCAATCACAAAATTATAATAATAATAATAGTAAATGTACAGATCAATTGTTAAAAAAATTATTAAATTCACCGGTTCAGTGTTGTCATTCGAATTCAAGTAGTAGTAGTAGTAGTAGTAGTAGTAGTAGTAATATTAATACTGATAAAAAATCAGATAAGTGTGTTGTTAATAATTTTAAAAAAGATTCAAACAGTGAAGGTTCATTGGACGAAATATGTCTTAATTGTAATAATTATAAAGGAATGAATGTTGATAGTAATACTAATTCTAATAACAGTAGCAGTAATAATACTAGTAGTAATACTGGTAATAATAATAGTAATAAAAACAAGTCTTCTACTGAGAGTGGTAAAAGTGTCATTGTTAATAAAGATCATCGTACATTGGATGCATTGATACTTATAAAAGGAGAAGTAGTTACGGGTTCGGCAAACTATGACGAAAAATCAGTGCCAAATCAAGTTTTGGATGCCGAACAATTAGGATTGACGCCTCAATTGTGCGATGATTTAGCTGTTGTACTGAGTAGTCCACGTTACCATATGTTGAGTTGGGTGTCTGATTGGAATGAATTAAGTACACTTTGTGAACGATATTTAGAGAATGCTCAAGAAATGCGTCACACTAATAAAGAGTTAAAGTATCTTAATATTGATTACTCACAATTTAAAGATTGGCCATCGGAGGATGACAGTAAGGATGTTTTTTATGGTATTGAAAAGGGTTACGAGCAGTGGGCAGACGGAGCGTCTGATACTTCTGAGCAGTATGGAAGTTTTCAACCAGCTGGCTCTTACAAAAGAAGTTCTACCAGACGTAGTTTAGATGATAGTTCTGATTCCGACAGCGGTAGTATTTTACGAGTTCGCAGGACTGGTCGGCAACGTAAAATTCACCGTTTGATATCTTCTGAAAGTGATTATGACAGTAGTAGTGGTGTTAAATCCTCGAGTAATAAACATTATCGTAACAACAGTTACAACAGAAGAAGAAAATCAAGTTGTGTTTCTGATACTGAGGACACAAATACTCAGGACAGTCAGACTGACAGTTTAGGAAGTGACGGATGTCGACAGGATAATAAAATAAATAATAAACCGTGCAATAATAAAGAATTAACTAAACGTAGTGGTAATAATGGAAGCAATGGTGGTATCGGTGGTAATGGAAGTAGTGTTGGTAAATCTAAATTAACTGTTGATACCGTATCACATTTTCATATGCTTGTTAATGAAAATATGCATCATACTACATCGACAATATCAAGCGGTGCCGGTAGTGAAGACGTCAGTGGTTCGGATGTTAGTAGCAATGATATAATAACGTTGTTTTCTGCGGATTTAGATGAAAATAAAAGAGAAACAATTAAAGGTTCTGCTTTTACCGCCGTTTCACCAATAATTATAACTAAAAAACGCAGTGACCCGGCTGTTTTAAAATCATTGAGAATGTTTCGACCACAAAATATTAAAAAACCCACACCAAGAATAAATCAATTAGTTCCGAAAAATATTTTAAATAATAATATTAATAAAAATAATATTAACAATAAAGATAATGTCAGTGGTGGTGGTAATGGTGGTAATAATGTTGGTGGAAATATCACTAAATTTGCGCCATTATTAAGCACACTTAATTTAAATCCTAAAATTGTATTGACCCGCAATAATGAAATAGATAAAAAATTAGAACAAACGAAAATTAAAAAGCAACCGGGAGTATTGAGTGCCGGTGATTTATCAAGTGAGCTTTTAAATATACAAAAGAAAATGCCATTTACGCACAAAAATCCAATTCATAATCATCATCATCATCATAATCATCATCATCACCATAATCATAATTATTCAAGTGATAAAAATAACAAAAGTCCACGTGGACGCAAACCAATTAAATCTAATAACAATAATATTAGTAATAATAATAATAATAATAATTTAGGAAAAAGTAATTATGACATACTAGCTAAAGCAGTACGTGATTCGGATATACTGGCTCAAACAGTTCCAGGTTTAAATACATTGGACATGATGGTACCACCGCGTGTACAGTCAACAGTTAATGTTGTTCAAATATCACGTAACATTCCGCAAAGTCCAAATTCTGGATCGATTAATAGCGGTAATACATCACCGAGAAATCGTACGTCTAGTATTGTTAGCAGCATAATACAATTACCAGGTACACCCTCGTCTGGTGGTCATGATAGTGGAGTTGGAATGAGTCCAGCCGGACAAACATCTCCACCGACACGTACATCAGTGCTTCATGACGTTGGTGAAAAGGCTAATCAGCCGCCTGATGCATCACCAACTATTTCAACAAATGTGTCGGCAACTGAACCAGATAGCCCTCATACTACCAGTAATAGTAATAACATTAATATTAATAATAACAATAATAATAATAATAATAATAACAACAACAATATTCAACGGATAATAAGCCGTAATGATTCACCAAATAAATCACCATCGCCTTCAACTACTACCACAACAACAGTTACAGCAACAACAATAACATCAACAGCTGCTATTACTACAACAGTACCAATTACTACCGAACAATTACAAATTGTTTGCAAACCTGATGGTACTTATCAACTGGCAACAATTAATCCTAATATTATAACAACAGGACAGAGAAATTTATTGACATTACAAAATTTAGAAGATGATAGTATTGGTTTTACTAGACAAATTCAACGAGTCTCGGAATCATCCTCGGGAAGTGGTTCTAACAGCAGAACCAATACTTACGAAAGACAAACAGTTAAAGTATCTCAACAACCACAAAAACCACCACAACAACAACAGCAACAACTACAACTACAAAATACAGGATTACCAAAATTTCAACAGGCATTTGGTAAAACAATTTATACACAGTCAGATACTACGACTGTTGCCACTTCATCAACCACTGAAACAATAACCCAACCAATGAGCAGTATCCAGAAAACGTCGAATTTATCTAAAGCTGTACAAACGTCTGTATTAAATAGTCAGGGTAGTGTTAGTAGTGGTGGCAGTAGTAGTGGAATTAATGTACAGTCAATAGCAAACATTCCAAATCTGCAGTTGTCATCATCAGGCGGCAGGCAGATACTTAATATTGTACAGAACACTGGTAGCAATAATACAAATATTAATACTCCGAATGCTAGTCAAACAATTACTCAACTTGTTCAAAATACTTCACCAGGTGTTATTTACACAACGCACAAAATACCTGTTACTATTACAACAACAACAAATCCTAGTCAGTTGAACATCATACCTGCTATATCGCACACTAACTCACTCCCCGGTGGTAGGCCACCAGTTGTTAAGTTGAATATTATAAGAACGCCGTTGAGACAGCAAAACCTCGCTGAAGTTATACAGGCTACTATTAATGCTTCACGAATTCAACAGCAAAATTCACAGCAACAGCAACAGCAGCAGCAACAACAACAACAACAACAACAACAACAACAACAACAACAACAACAACAACAACAACAACAACAACAACAACAACAACAACAACAACAACAACAGCAACAACAACAGCAGCAACAACAACAACAACAACAACAACAACAACAACAACAACAACAACAACAAAGACAACAGACGGCTGTCAGAGCAGATAGTTTATTAAATTCACCAATCGAAGTGCCAAATCAAGTCAGTTCGACGACACTTGAACAATTGCGTGAATTTGAAAGTGTACTCGAGCAAGTTAAAGAACGTAGTACTATTCAACCTCAGCTCCAATCGAGTTCCAGTACTACTACCACGGCTGTTCAAACGCAAACAACTAGCCAACAAACTCAAGCTAAACAACAACATCAACAGACTGCTGTATCGGCGCTTGCCCAGCAACTTCTTATTTCAACCCAAACTTCAACAAACACTGAATTTACAAACAACAATGGTGGTAATAATAGTACCACGACATTTCAACAGCAACAAGAAGTATTTCCGCAAAAAGTTTCACTGACTTATGTAAATCAAACGACACCGACAACGCCGCAAAAAAGTACCAATACTACGACGACACCAGTTGTCGTGGTAACGAGTTATTGTCAGCCAGCAGCTTCACCAGCACTTAGCATCACTTCACAAAGTTCTTCAAGTCCTTGTGTAACTCCAGCCCCGACATCTGTTTCTTCTGCTGGAAAAACACCACCAACACCGTCACCTAAAAGTTCGAAAAAGTCTGCGCCGAAAAATGTTAAAACTAATACTTCTAGTAATGCATCAAAATCCTCGCCAATTCCAAAACCACAGCAAAAACCCCAAGAAGATGAACAAACTGCACAACGTATTTATACAATACTTGCAGAGTACGCTGAGCAGCTGAGAAATTCTCCAGATTTGAATAATAAACCTGCGCCTAGAAGACGTTCTAATCCACCAACAAATCCAAGTCAATCGTCAAAGCGTAAAAAGTCTGGTGGTAAATCAAGTAAACCATCTGGTGGACAGCAATCATCAGAAATGAGTCCAAGTGCTGACGATTTGGGACGTACTATGGGCAGCGAAGATTCATCGAGTGGTATTGCGCTTATACAAGACAGTCCAGCTGGTTTTTCGGGACAAGACGAGCAATCAACAGCTTCTAATATCGACTCTCAGTCAGAAACACGAAATAATTTAACAACCTCTGATTCAAATGACGGCGTTGAGGTTAATGTTAAAAGACGTAATTTAATATTTACTGAACCCGGTAGCGGACAACAGAGAACAGTTATTGTTCAAGAAGCAATGCCTACTGGTACAGTTAATGTCAGTGAAGCTTTAGCGTCTGTTACAGGTAAAGTTAGTGGTACAGCAGTACTTGTACCTAGTGGTAATTACATTTTACCAATGAATTTGGTTAAAAGTACTCAACAATTTACAATAGTTTCTCGTGGATCAAAATTATTGGCCGCAGTACCAGCATCATTAACAACAGGTGGCAATTCTGGTGTATCTAATGCCCTTGTATTGCAATCATTTCTAAATCAAGCTGGTAAAATTATATCTCAACAACCTGGACAAGTTAAACAAGTTAAATTACCAAATTTACAAACAATAACATCTAATTCGACAGCCGCATCAACAACAACATTAAACACAACTTCTGTTGTTGTACCACACCAAACAAGTAATACAACACAACAATTTACTAATAATGATTCAACGTTGGACAACAAAAGTGATTCTATAACTGACGTTATTATTAAAAGTGAGCCTGGTACACCCGTTATCAATGATGCGACAACACAAAATACTATTTTAGTTAATAAAGCACCGACAATTGGTTTGCTACAACGTAGTTTGAGTGACATTACTGATACACAACAGTTTTGCGGGGTTATAACAAGTAATTCAGGCTTAACATTACAAGGTGCAAGGTTATTTAATTCAACAATTGGTAAATTATCAACGTCTAGTGGTAGCAAAACCGAGAGTGTCGTTTGTTTGGCTTCAAATGTTGGAGAATCTGATAAAAAGCCGCTTATTGAACAATTGCAAACTGAAAATAATAAGCTGGGTTCAATGCACAGTGCAACAATTGCTTTGACTTTTGCAGCCCCGAGTGATGTCACGGCATTGAACAACAGTAACACGCAAAATAAATCAATTCAGCAACAAGTAGCTCAAATAGTCCAGCATAAAACACGGGAAACCAACAATATTGCTGAATTAATAAATAAAAGTAAAGTTATATCACCAAAAGCTGTTAAAAGAAAACTTGAAGATCAAATTTTGTCATCTGAAAAAGTTTCTAAGTCATTAATAACTTCAATTGTATCGCCGAGTACGGTTACGTCTATACAAAATCATTTAAAAGCAGAGCCAATCTCGGTAGTTACATCCAAGCAAATGTCTAGCATCGATAGTCCAAGTCAGTATTTAATAAATGCTGATGGAACTAGCGGAAGTTTAGACCTTCAAGAATCAACATTAAGGCAATCTGGTGATAACGAGGTTAATTGCAAAGTAGGTAATGGTGTTTTATGTGGTAATGCTAGACTACAAGAAGCATGGGAACCAGACGACAGAAAATCATCACCAGATACACCTTGGCGGTACGTTCCCTCTCAGAGCAATCAACTAACTATTGAGCCTCTAAAAGTTTATTCACGTGACGGCGATAGTTCAGAAAATGTACAAACAGTATTGCAAATTATAAATAAAGGTACTAGCCAGAGTATGGACATGAATAGTGGACAGTTGTATTCAAGTAATACCACTAAAAAATATTTTATAAATCATCTTGAGCCTTTTCAACAGTTTACAACATCAAATAAAAGTAATATTGTTGTTGCTAGTAAAAATTCAAATAATAATCCACGATTAGAGCGTGAATTGGCGCAACAGCGTATTGAGAGAAATCGGGCGGCGATGGAACGCGAATTGAGACTGCAAAAAAGTTTATCCGAAGAATGTGAAGATCTAGGTGTTGATGAACCAAGCACGAGTGACTTATTTCCAGAAGCCGATTTGTTATTTGATACTAACCATTCCCCGTCTTTTGATCATTTATCCCAGGATGCTTCATGCAGTCAGCCGCTGGGTATGAAAATGTACAACGCTTCGTCATACTTTCGGCCATTAGACTCATCAAGTGGTAGCCGTGAAACTAGTCCAGCTCCCAGTATTGAAATTAAAAGTACCGAACGTAGAAAAAGCATTTCCCAGCGTAATAGATCGTCCAAAGACTCAGACCGATTGTCATCTAAAAGGTCAAAACGTGACAGGCAAGACGAAAACGAGATGCATAATCCATCAAAGCATTTAAGATTAAGTCCAGAGAGTCAAGATGAGGGGTCTAATAGTACTTCTGACTTGTCTAGACTTTCACCGCCACACTTACCGCTCATGGATATTGACTCCAAAGATACAATGTGCTTGAAAAAAATGATATCGTGCAATGGTTCTAAAGAAGGCTCACCCACCAGTGTGTCTAGCATTCCATCAAATATTAAACTAGATATTGATTTAGATTCAGAATCATTACCACTTGGTTCTAATGTTAATAATACAATTGGTAGTTCTGGTGATGACAGTATGACGTTAATGGGTAGTAATACTGCTGATGTTACGATACCATCGCCGCTGTCACCAATCGCAGGGCCACTGTTATCGACGCACAAGTATACGTACACCAACAAAAAACGTGCTACATCTAAAGTGTCACGTCCCGAATATTTATCTTGGGAAAGTCCGATCTCCGAGAGAACAAGATCTAGCAGCGATGAAGAGGATTCGAGTATCAGTGAGTCTATTAGCAGCCAGACAGATGATTTGATTACCAATGGGCTTGATGACAGCTTACAGTTGAGTAGTATTAAAAGTACTTCTTCTAATTTTAATTCTTCAACAATAACAACTCATAGCAGTACAACTGGAGTTAATGATAGATGTACTTATTTAAAAAAAAAAGACAACAGTAAAGTACATGTCAATGCCAGGGTAGTATTAAATCGTGCTGAGTCAAAAAGTATTATTGCTAAACGTGCTAAAGGTGATACCATCAACAACGAGATGGGAATAATGAGTCAAGATAAAACATCAGAACCATCGGACGACGAAACGTGCCATACTTTAATAGAACCTGATTGCCGTGCTAGAAGATCTAGTTTACGAGGGCATGTCAAAAAAGGATGCACCTGTTGCAATGGATCACCTGAGAGACCCAAGAAGAAACAAACTGGTGCTAGTAATACTGTTAACACTGGTAACTCTGGTGTAACTAGTGCTAGTACCGGTGCTACTGGCGGCGGCGGTGGTGGTGGTAAAATTATCGAGCATAAGTTGAAGAAGAAATTGGTTAAATCACTTGGAAAAAAGAGGTAGTCTTAGCAATTGTATTCTTGCTTATTTATTATTAAATGTATTTAATTAAAGTGTACGGTATTTGTAAATTTATTGAAGAAAAATTTTAAAAAGTAATATTTAAATATTAAAATTATTAACAAATAAATAATGATGATAAAAAAAAAAAAAACGCTTAAGGGCAATCGCCATGTGTTTCAATGTGGTTTAGTAATATTTAAATGATGATTGATTAAATGCGACCAAAGCGGCTAATGCCAATTATCATAATGAGAAAATAAATATTACGAAAGAGAGAGAAAGAGGAAAATAAATGTGTGTGTGTGTGTGAGAGAGAGAAAGAGAGATAATTTTCCAGTGAAATGGTAGTAGCTTGATAACAGATTAGATACCAGGCTCTTGCTAATATTTATTAATTAATGAATTAATTTATAATGATGATTATGATGATGATGATGATGTAAATAATAGTATGCTTGATCAGTGTATAGCAGGCTTCACGCATCCAGATTTTGTTGTTTGGAGCGAGGCAACAACCTCTAGTTAATATTATTCATTAATATTTAATTTCTACGTTATTATAAATTAATTATTATTAATATTATTATTATTATTATTATGATTATTGTTTAGTTATTAATAAATTTAAGTATTCAGATTAAGACAGAAACTTATTATTAGATTATACTCTGATTAATAAATAAATTAACATAGTAGATTCCAATTCTAATTGTAGTCGATCATTTAATAAAATGAATAGAAGAAAAAAATAAAAAATGCAAAAAAAAAATTAAATAAATTTATACTTAAATTATAGATTTATTATATTTTAAGAGACATTAGAAAACGCAATCTAGTCAGCTGGTTGGGTCTCCACGAGTTGAGAGTTTATGGATAAATAAGTAAACACATTGAATATAAATAAACGATAAATAAAAAGCATGATAGTGTATTTTCAAGCTCCTATCATAATTATTCCGTATTTAACCACTTACGTGATACAGGCCAGCCAGAGACTACAATTAAAATTATTAATTAATTAATCAATATTAATTAAGAACTTGTGTACAGTTTTGCTCTCCGCGTGTCTTTTAAAAATGTAAAGTCACTTGTGATCATGAGTCTCCCTCATTTTAGCTTTACTTAGTATCTTTTATCATCAGTTTTTATTTAAAATACTATTATTTTTATGAGATTTAACAGCTTAATTTTTTTTAATTTTATTATTTTACACAAAAATCCAAATTGTAGATGAATTTCTTATTTAATTTAAAATGAAAGTTGAGATAAAGTATCATTGAATTATTTTGTTTTTTTTTTTTTTTTATTGATATTCAGAAAATACTGTTGTATTAATTAATCACATCATACATGTAAATCCATACTGTACATTGAGTAGTTTCTATAAATCATTTAAATTAGTTAATTAATTAATTAAGATTTAAAATACTAAAAAGATAAAACTCTAAAATAATCATATATCGCTGCACTTTAGTACAAAAATGCTTCATCTCTTATTTCGATACTGGCAGGTACTATCTTGATGTATTAACGATGGTGAAGCGTGAATGCCTGCAATTTATTATGATTATTATGTTATTGCATTTGTAAAGTTTGTGTGGGTATTGATATTAAGGATATTTTTTAAAAAATTATAGTTCTTATTATTATTATTACTACTATTATTATTAATAATTTCTAAGTCTAATTAATAATTAATTTTTAAAATCTAATTTTAAATCAGATTTCGTAATTTTTTGATTTTTAAGAATCATAAAGTGAAAGAATGAATTTTAAAAATTTGTTACTTAGTTACGATGATAAGATGATTAATAAAATGCTTAAAAAATCGTGCAACTGTAAATACGTTTCTCGTGTTTACTAACTTTTCTGTTTTAGATTGTTAAAAACAATAACAATTAAATAATTAAGTAATTTATAATTGATGAATGATTTTGTTTTTGTAATTAACTTTGAAGCCGAATATACTGAATTACATGTATGTACTTTAATTGTTTTTTTATTTTCATTTTTTATTCATTTTGATCTCATTACTTTAAAATACATTAATATTTAGTTAAGTATAATTTTTATTTTTAGTGGATTTCCAAAATTTTATTTGTGCAAATAAAGGGGCACATTTCAAATTTTACACTTCTGCATTTGGTAATGTTTTACTATATTTTGGATCAATATTTGACAATTATTTTTAATATTTTGATTAAAAAGGATATTATGAATAATCAAGCCCACTGCTGCTTACTTGAAATAAATTGTTTTAAATATGTACAAATATGATTAAGTTGGGACATATTCAAGATATCTAGTTCATTGCGCGATGACATTATTTAGATGACATTTTCGGTCTGATACTGTAAAGACACCTACGTATTTATTTTTTTTTTATCCTGGGCATTGTAAAAAGTTCTGACCTGTGACATATTTTACTTGATTGATTTTATTTTTATTTTCGGAATTAGATTAATTTATTTTTACTTGTTTTTAATTGTTTAAAAAAATAAAATTTTGACACTTTTTCTGTTCTTAATTAATGACATTAAATTCAGTAAAAATACAATTGTTACTATTGATTAAAATTTAGTCAACTTCAAGATGTTGGATTATTAAACTTTTGTTAATTTTAATTGAAAAGTAAATTTCAGCGTGTATTAATTATCATTAATCTCAATATCTTCCTGTAAACTAAAAGTTAGAATAAAGTATGTCTGTTAATTAATCAAGCAATTGTTGTACTAAATAGAATGATATTTTTAAAAGTTAAAATTTTTTTAAAAATTGGTAATAGCACAAATATTTTACCAAATTAGTTAAAAACTATTTAACGACAGTGTGGCTTTAAGAGTAATCCTTTTAGTCGTACCAAATGCATTTAAACGTAAAAAAGTTAGCAACTAATAAGTAAATTTAAGTAATAAGAATGAATTAAATTTTAAGTTATAAATTATAAATCGAGTTTTCCAAAGTTAACTCCACTTGAGCTGCTTGACAGAAGCCGACAACAAGATTATATTATTTATATAAATACATATAAATATATATGTATATTAACTTAAGTAATTTTTTGTAATGTATATTTGTAAGAGCTATTACATTTGTCACTTAACACTTAACAGTATTGATATATTGTATTGGGTTGTTGCGATGTGAAAATTCGTGTTACGGACTTTTTTGAAAATAAAATAAAATCACTGATCAGTGAAAAATAATGTACCAATTAATTGCATTGAATCAGTTAGCACAAATTTTTTAGATATTAATAATAATAAAATATTAATTAATAAGTTAAGAGGAATAGCATCTTTTATTATAAGTTACGATTAACTCGTAATTCGTGATGCTGTTCTTTAATAATTTATTTTTAGTGTACTATATAAGTATGTAATTACAACTAAACAAAAAAATTTCATTTTGAATTATTTAGTGAGTATTAAATGATCTGTAATTTCGATACTTGAATTAAATGCTCATTTTCAGTTGAAAATGACTTAAAAATGCTGATTAAATTGTGTATGCATATTTAATGACGTACATTAATAATAATAATAATAATAATAATAATAATAATAGTAATAATAATTATAATTAATGATAATAACAATAATTAATAATTATAATAAATGGAAAAAAAAATTATATGAGAGAATGAGTACTGGAACAATGCACAAATGGCAAGTACATAATGAACGATTTATTAATGATAGTTAAATTTATTAATATTTAACAAATTATAAAAAATCTAGATGGCTTCAATAACAACAAAGTAGACAAAGATGAATATTATTTAATTTTCAGCTTAATTATATTAATTACATTTGCTAATTTAAGAGGTAAATAAACAGAAAATGAAAATGATAATCGACATTTATTAATTAAATAAAGAATTAATTGATAAATACTCTTGAGAATATGATTGTACAGTGTGTTGAAAGAATAATTGTCTGAAAACAAAAAGAAAAAAAAATTACATATATCACGAATCATTTTTTCAAATGGAAGTATTATGGTGGTTGCATATTGTACATAAACGAGACATATTTTCTATAAAAGGATGCGTCGCTCATAAGAAACGACGTACCGAAAAATATTGCAATATTATATATTAAAATAATGATAATATTAATAATTCTTTAAACAAAAATGTAGGATAGTTTAATCAGTTTATGTAATGCATCAAATAGAAAACAAACAATGGTCTGACAGAATATAAATTAAAGTTCTGTATTTACATTGTACGAGTATGTATATTAATATCTATGATATTACTCACCTTTCCTTTAATATTTAAAGTTGACTATTCTTAATTATTTAATAACATTTTTTTTTTTTTTTTTTAATTTTAAAAGCTTATGTTGAATATTTAATATTTGTAGAAGCCGTTATCATTAAGCCGCTTATTCGATTTGTTGAGTTTCAACAGCCTGCAAACGATAAAGTTTATTATTAACTTCTTAAATTAATTTATTAAGATATTTAGCATAAAAAATACCCTGCGAATCATTTCAATTATATCGTTAGAGCCTTCTCTGGTAAAATACTCATTGAGTTCCTGGGGCATGCAGAAGTAATTTGGAGTACTAGGTTGAATTCCCATATTTTCGCCGATGAAACGAAATTCTGGAGGGTCTACTATGGAACTAATTAATTCTTGATGAGTAAATAGAGTTCCTTTTATAGATGACTCATCTAAAGAACCAAAGTCAACTATTTTCACTTTGTCTTTTTTATAACGAATCACATCAAACGTATCTGTAAAATATAATTATTAAATCAGTTCAATATTTCAATTTTATCTCAACTAAAATATCAATTTATAATTACAATTATCGAGTTGAAATCGATCCTTTATACGCTCTCGAAACAAACTTTTAATGTCTGTTTGTATACTGTATTTTTCATTCTCTATGTATTGATGATACTGAGTCACATCCCTTTGACAAATACCTAGAAAAGAAAAAAATAAATTTTAAAATGTATATAAATCTTAACATTAATTGTACGGATATAAAATATTTTTACCAACTAATTCTCTGTTCACAACAAAGCAGCGGAATTCTGTGCAAGGATTAATATCACGCCATTTCTTCAATACCAAGCAGGGTGGAATTTCTTTATCATTTTTTGCTAATTCTTTTACTGCAGATATATCACGTGAAATGCGATCAGAACTTTTTAAAAGTAAGTATACTTCCTCAAGTGATGTACATTTTAATGATTTTGTTACTGCTACCCACATTGCATCCTATAATTGTTCAAAACAATAATTACATATATTACTTAGATGCCCAATAAAATGATCTTAATTCATTTTTTGCCAGTTAACAAAAATTTTCGACAAAACAAATTCGAGTAACAATCACTAAAAAAATTTTAATTAAAATTTCAATATTTTTTGAAAATAAATTTATACGTACTGAAGGTGTTCTCCAGTTTGATTTTACAAAAACTGCTCCAAAATCATCGATGACATCTTGAATTTGTTTACTAAATTCTGGAAACGTTGGCTGAGCTGAATCCTAAATTGTAAATAAAATTATTAATAACAATTGCAACATAAAAATAAATAAAAATGGTATATATTTAATGATAAACTTACTTCTGTTAGGTTATCCTGACCAGACGATCCATCAGACCATTTTATATTTCGAATTTTATTGTCAGTAGCTTCCACTGGCAAAATAAATGCATCATGCTCCAAATAATTCAAAAAATTATCTGGTATTTGTAATACAACTGTCTCTAATGAATTTTTTGTGAATTCCGAATACCATGTTGAAATCGAACATTCAATTACCGGGTTATTTAACATAATTATTTATTTTATTTTCCGAAATATGAATACTATAGGCCGAATATTACTGAAACTAAAGCCAAAGAGTATCCTGTACTGCACCCTTTGTCTAAAGCTAAAGACAAATATCACTAGAACATATAAATTAAATAAGTAATTGTACAACTCCTTTTATACTTTTTGTTTACATGAATATATATTTTAGAACATTGACGCGCCATATTACATACACTAGCGACAACTAGAAGTTCAACATTATGTTTGTATGCGCTCTCATTTCAAATAGTCTCTTGACCGTATGTGTATCTTTATACTTTTTAGTAGATTTCATAGAAATCTAACTATTGCAATGGTCCTCATGACGAAACTTTTGAAAAATTTTACTATATTCCGACTTAATGCCATGATTTTAAAATTTTCAAAATCATGAAAAATCATAAAAATTTCCATTTCTTCATTTTCGTAGTTAAATAACTTTTGAATGGGATAATTTATTGAATTTCTGTAAATTGCAATGAAAGCTCTTTAAATAAGCTTCAATTTGAGTACCATATCATATGTGTAGTCCCAAAATTATGTCCTATTCCGCTATGCCAATTATGAAATTTGCTATTGCAGTCGTTTTTTTTTGTTTTTTTTCTTTACTATACACCAGCAGTAAGTAAACAAATAACGGAGTTAGGGTGAAATAAGCTTTTAATCGCCGGTTTACTAAAAATCCATTTTTTTTTTCTATTTATGTTGAAATCTACTTCCATTTCGACTGCCGAATGGTCTTTTTTTTTTTTGCTTAATTTTTCAGGTACACTAATCAGTATCTGGACATCTAACAAAATTTAGTTGACTTGGAAATACCAGAATGTGATATTTTTATTTTTTTTAATGATTTGGTGAAATCAATAAAATAATGTAAGTATATCCTTTGCCAAAAGAATGAGATGTAAAATATTTAATTGATAAATCGAGTAAAAGAGCCAGCTTATTCTGGGTGCTTTATAGAATTGCATTTTTAAATCTAGACTTGAAATTTAATTAGAGTATTGTTTTGACTTGCACAAATCCCAAATTCTATCGAATTGGGATGCACTTTTATCCATGTACTTACAGTCGGCGACATGTATTTTTCCCGTTACACGATGACAAAACGTACACGAAAATATCTCTATGTAAAGAATTCCATGTTAGACATTTCTATTGAATATATTTCTAGGGAATATTTGTACGGAAAAAATTTGTCTATTTGACAATAATTATAAGCAAGAATAAGTCCATGTACAATAAATCTAATCGTGATTAAGTCTGTTGAAAAATATTTCAGGTTCAAAATAAATCCATGCATCAACATCTCTCTTTACTTATGTAAAATGAGTATATGTAAATTTACTATAGTATCTGTAATAAAGTCGCATGCACTGTGAGTGTGTGACGCTGGAGCTTTGAAATTTAAATTTAAATTTAATATTGAATAATTTTTGGAAGTTTGAGCTACATTATTTTTCAACAAAAATAGCGATCAAGAGTGTAAATTAAAATTTTTAAAAATCCTTTGCGTCTGAAAATAACAGGCACCGGATTATTTATAATTTTGGTAATTAATAATTACATTAAAAAAAAAAAAAATTTATTGAATTTCTTCACAATTTTTCATATCATTATTGAGTAAAAAAAAAGTATTCAGTTACAAAATATCTATATGAAATTAAATAAGTTACTTTCAGTAAAGTAATAAATTTCAATAAAAATGTAATACGAAGGATTTTTTTTTTTAATTTACAGGTCTGGATCACATTTTAACAAAAAAATAAATTTTTATGAATACCATGATAAAGAAATGACGAAAAAATAATAAATTTTCAACAGTTATTTTCAGTGTCATAATTCGAATTATCCTAATGCGGAGACTAGCAAAATAATACCGATTGTCCTCGCGTAGTATTTTTGACGGGCCTACACGGTTTCTTTTCTTTATACGCAGCGTGAACATAGTATGGGATATAATTATCTTTTATCGCATTATAAAAAAACAAAAGAAAAAAGAATACAATTAAACAATTCGGCTGCCCAATTTTAAAACACAATAACTGCAAAATTTCCATACCTGATTTTTTTTAGGATTGCTGCATTTTTTATAACTTTTAGACCTTAATTTCAAGGATTTTTTCTTAAAAATATTTAAGTATTTTCTATTCATAAATCAAATTTTTCATCAATTGGCGGGCAAACTTTTTTTTAATAAGAAAAATTGAAAAAAATTTTTAAACGTTAGCTACTGTGTTTTGAAATTGGGCAGCCGAATTGTCCAGCGGTATACTAATCAAAAAATAATTTGTGATTACAGAAATTGAAATTCAAAGTGTCTGATTTAATTATTGGAACAAGGAACAAATTATTGTCATCTGCAGCATCATTTTCGTCTTCATAGAAAATGACGGATTTTGATAGAATTGATTCTAATTTAAAGTCAACGATAACTAAATGTTACTGCTTAGAAGCTACAAGAAATACAAAGTGGGGCCGATTCCCAAACTTGAAAAAATTGTCGGAGGTAGTCATTTTATAAAAGAATTTAAGTTTGGCGCATCACCAATCTTTGGTTCTGGCCAGATAGAATCCCAGTTTCCCAGTACTGCTGAGTTAAGGAGTCAAAACTTCGCCCAGCTCATAGAATCGGCACATCCGGAATTCGCGAGTTACGGCGCCAGATTAAAAAGTTTTGAGTCATGGCCTTGCTGACTCAACTTGCTGACGCTGGCTTTTACTACACCGGCATTGATGACCAAACTATCTGCTTTCACTGTGGCGGTGAGTTGAATGACTGGACGTCCAAGGGCAATCCATAGTTCCAGCACGCCAAGTGGTTCGAAAAGTGTTCCTTCCTCCTGTTGGTCAAGGGGCAAAACTTCATTAACTTCGTCAATCGTCGGGGTCTCGGATCACCTACTGATGAGGTAATTATTTATTTATATTAGTTAATCTAAAAAAAAATATTAAAGATAAGAAGAAATGTTTATTTGATTAAAGTTTACTGTTTTATTTATTTTTATTGTAGGATTTTGAGCAGATTAACTTCTCCATCAGCACTAAAAAATTAAAGCCACCAGCGAGTATTGAGAAACCGGAAGAAACACCCGAGAAGAAACCAAAGACAGAAGTTAAGCCGATCAACAAGAGTGCTGATGACGCCCGTATGTGCATAATTTGCAATAACAAAATATTGTTGGGGGGTGGTGTTCCAGCCTTGCAGACACATGGTGGCTTGTACTAAGTGCGCGGAGAGAATGACTTCTTGCCCGTCTTGTAAAAGGTCCGTCAATATGACATTACGCGCTACAATATCTTAATATCTTTACATTAGCACTATTCATTATATCCTAAAATTATTATCTATGTAAAAATGAAAAAATTGAAAATTAAGATATTTAAATTTAATACTAAAGTGTAAGAATCCGTCCGATGAGGCATGGGGCACGGGGGTATGTATAGATACATCGGACGAATTCTCACTTCCTTGTTTAAATGAAAGCATTAGATTAAGCTAAATAAAATGATGCTGAAGTCAATAGACATCTGTCAATTTTTTCAAATTTGAAAACAATGAAATAATTTAATAATTTAATTATTGAAAAAAATTCCATATGTAAAAATAAAAAAAAAAATTATTAGTGGGAATTTAAAAAAATATTTTTTTTTCTCAAAATTGATTTGTTATAAAAATTAAAAAAATTTTTAGATGTCTGCTGATTTCAATATCATTAAATAAATTGAAAATTAGATTAAGTACTTGAGTATACTCTCATAAATTAAATAAAGTGATAAAATATTAATAAAATGCATTTACATACAATAACTTACAAATAAAGGCCTAATTAAATACACTTGGCACAGATAATAAAGTAAAGAGATGTTTTAAATAACATTAATCAGTGGAATGTCACATGGTGTCAGTTTAATTATTAAGTTGCATCATTTCTAGTACACAACTCGTCTTTTAATGAAACATTCATAAAAACTCATACGGCTATCACACAATAAAAATATCACACATCTCTGCTTTCCATAATTGTCCTCTGATATATATATGAGAACATAGAATATATGTAAACACACAATGACATTATTAGCGAAGTATGTAAGTACTATAAAAAATATAAATAGTACATTAGTATAAATTTTACATTGATTATTTAATACCATTCTGTAAATTATTTATTTATTTATATATTTATTCTTTTGCTGGTATATTATCTAAGAAAAACATATAATTCAATAACAAGCATAATCATATTTAAAATTGTGCAATCCGCTATTAGATCCTCGGGGTAACGACTACTAATTCACCGCCAACACAAATAGGAGTAAGTAACTGAGAACTTTATGTCCGAGAAATCAAGAGAGTATGTGAGTAGTCAACTTAGTGGAAACTAGCATTGATTATAATGAAGATAATTTTACTTTTTTAAGTTGTAAAAGCTGCCTCGTTTATTTCTTCTAAAGGACTTGCAACGGATCTTCATACGAATGGCATACATTAAGGAATAAATCGTCGAGTTTTTGAGAAAATTTTCTTAATCTGCTCATGATCTTATCATTGACTTTTTTTTAATTTTTATCAACATACATAATTATTCTAGCTAATATTCACTGTAACTTTCAATGTACAATCATTATAACATTCTTGGGTCTTTCTTAAAAAATTAATAATTGATATGAAAAAAAAAATTTGTAATAAGCATTGAAAGGTTCAATTAAAGAAATGGCAGGTCTCATAAGTGAAAAAATCTGCCTAGTATATGAAATAACCAATAAGATTAAAAATTTTATTTTAAACGAATGACAATCAAATAGAATAAATTTAGTTACAATAAAAATTCATTATTTTTAAATCAAAAAATTATAAGGTAAAAGACCTAGTTATTGACACTTGCAATTTTATTCTAATTAAAAAAATAAAATGCTCTCAAAAAATCAATTATCTTAAAATTTATATTCATTAATTTATTAGAGCTGATTTTTTTTTTTTTATTCAACTAAAATTGCAAATGTCAATAACTAGGCCAGTGTCAATAACTGGGTCTTTTACCTTAAGTTCCGGATAAGTAATCACCGACATATCATATACAAAAACTTTCGGTAAAACACGCTGCATCTTATGGTATAAGTATTTTTCTGATCGGTTTAGTAGTTTTTACAGTATAACCGAACAAAAAAACCGGCTTTCCATTTATTAGTATAGATATATAAGTAGATGAAATAAATTTGAGATATAACTTTAATCAAATTTAAAAGTAGCTGGAAAAAAGTTTGAGACAAAACTTTAATCAAATTTAAAAGAAACTGGAAAAAAGTTTATTCGATCACATATTATAATTTATCAAACAACTTAAAATTATTAAGTAAAAAAAGAACCCTGTAAAATTTTTATTGTTTATAAAATCGTGGAAAAATAAAATTCAAGATTTCGGTTATTAGTTGAATTATCTTAAATAACATTAGATAAAAAATTAAGATGTAGCATCAGCACAAATACGAATAGTATTCCTTCCTATCACGTTTATGAAACCATGATCTTGGAGATCTTTTAAGGAGTCCTCAAACATATCACGAGTCACAAACTAAAAAATAAAAGAAAATAATTGAATAAATAAACACATAAGTAGGAAAAAAAAATCTCAAGAAAAATATTTCTTACAATTTGCATAGATTCTTTCAATTCAGTGAATAATTTCTGGTAATTTATCGTAGGAACTTTCTTTTTGGATGCAATCAATTTTTTAAGAACGTCAACCACTTCAGTTCGACGTTTTCTAGCTGCAGCGGAAATACCAGTTGTTAAGATACTAACATCAATTTTTCCACTGAGAGGATCAACAGCTGATTGTTTAAGGGCTTCACGATGCAGTCTAAATGAGAAAATTGTTGTGAGAAAATTTTTAGTGATTATAAGTTCTGATCAGTATATTATACAAATACTTGTGATTTTATAAAACTTCTTACCTCCATGCTTCTTCAACATCTTTAATTTCAACGACATGACTAAACCGTACTTTAGCATGAGCTTCAGATAACCGAATAAGTGATTCTAATTGTCTTGGATATGCTGTGATTTGACCTGCACCACTCCCTACTCTTCGCATATCAACATAGGCTTGAACTAGTTTTTGTTGTGCCTCTTCACTCAACGTTGGTTTCACATGTTCTTTTGCAAAAGCTATATAATCTCTCAAAACACTTAAATCAAATAGCTCATCTTCATGCTCTGGTTCATCTTCCTGGTAAAGGCTAACTAAATGTTTCGCTAATTTACGATCAAAGTGTTCACTTTGAGGATCCAACATCAAAAAGATCAAATCGAAACGCGACATAAGAGTGTGGGGCAACATCACATTCTCAACTACCTATTATCAAAAATTAAAAGTTTTAATAATACTTTATCACCAAAACATGCTTCATAATATAAATGTAATATAAAATATAAACAATAAATCATTAAGCCGATTAATGTGCATACCGTTTTATTTTTATTCCATTGTGACTCGCATGGATTAGCAGCTGCTAAAATACTTGTCCTAGCATTCAGTTGACAAATGATTCCAGCTTTAGCAATGCTCAAAGTCTGCTGTTCCATGACTTCGTGTAATACCGAACGAGTACTATCATTCATTTTATCAAACTCATCAATGCAACAAATACCATTATCTGCAAGAACCAGCGCTCCAGTTTGAAGAACCAGTTGACGTGTTTCTGGATCCTTTGTGACATAAGCTGTTAAACCAACAGCACTTGAGCCTAAAAGTGATAAATAAATAATGAAACTTTTGTAAAACATTATCTCTTTTAAAAAAAAAAATTACCTTTTCCACTACTGTACTGTGAACGTGGCACTAAATTAAAAACAAACTGTAAGAGTTGAGACTTGCTGGTACCAGGATCTCCACACAACAAAATATTAATTTCAGATCGAAAATGACTTCTTCCAGATGTAGTATGAGTCTTTTTTGTACCACCAAAAAGCTGAAGAAGTATACCTTTCTTGATGTCTTCATTTTCGTAAATACTAGGTGCAATACACCGAGCTAATCGTTCATAAACATCATCTAATTGTGAAAGTTTTTTAAGTATTTGAAGTCTATCTGGTGGAAAAACATGACTTTTTCCATCTTCTTGGTCGTACAGCCTATTACAATGAATATTATGTAAAATAGATTGAAAAAATGTTATTGAATTGAAAATAAATCGAACTTACCTTTTGGAGTCCTGCTTTCTAAAATGAACGACATCAATGTATGTTTTATATACAGATTTTACATTAGAAATTCTCGGATTAACTTGAATCGGAATAGCTCTGTAAATTCCGGTAACTGCTACTCGATCACCAGCAGATACAGAATCAACTAAATCATTGTGAGCAAAACATACGACGGTATGAGGTGTTTGACCAGCAGCCATATCATCAGGCGACTCTTGGAGTTTGATCATTTGCTTGTCAGAAAAATGACTGCGATTATGAATCAATGTAAAACAGTAATTATTATTACAATGACTGCAGACCGTTGGCTCGGAAATTCGGCCTTTGTCTACTTCTACTGTAGTCGAAAAAGAACAAATGATACATCGGAAAAATGCCTCTCTCATCTCTGGTAAGACATTTGATGTTCTGATAACCATCCCAGTTACAGTTATCAATTGATCAATATCTTCTGGGTTTAAAAGTCTCATATTTTTTGTTTTTTCAACGTTATACGGTCTCACTTGAATCTGATGTTCTAATACAGCTGCAGGATACTTTTCAAAAAACATCTCATTAGCAGCCATATCCATAGTAGGAATAACTTCCTGAGGATAGCAAACTAATTGCTGATATAATTGTTGATCAAAACTTTCTAGGTGAGCACAATTGATATTTAAATAAGGCTCTTCCAATGTGTGAATTTCTACCAGTTTTTGCAAGTATAAAGGTTCCATTAAGTTTAGCGAATCAGGTAATTCATCATTTTCAGCTTCAGGATCAATAAAACGTTGGATAAAATGCTTGAATTGCTGTTTGCAACGATTAACGACGACATTTGTTCCCCAAATAACTAGCTGAGGTCCAGCTGGTTCGCTCTCTGAAGTTCTTTGAACATTTTCTTCTTCTAAAATCTTATTTAAAAAAATAATCAGCATGATCAGTAAAAAAATTATAAATTAAAAATAGACTATTAATAAAAACTCACTGGTTCAGACAAATTTACTTGACGTAATCTTTTCTCAGTTCGAATATCTGGTCTCTGTCTGATTGGAGTACCCCTTATTCCACTTCGGGGAGTTCGAACAGAACTAAGAGAACTAGGTGTTCCATAATTGAGAGGAGAAGACAGATCTATTTCACTTATGCCTCCAGCAATGGGACTTGTTTGTAAAATTCGGTGTGGAGATGTAGCAGGGTGTGAAGAAGGTCCTTCTGACGATGCTGCAATCGTTTCTTGTGTTCTTTGGGTTCCCCATCTTTGAGGGGTGGAGACCATTGATAAACCTGCTAGATCACGAAATAATTTTTATTTTATTTAAATCTTGCACACCAAAAAATAATCGGAGGCATTAGTAATAAAACTTAGATTACTTAGTATTGTTATATAAATGTTTAAATAACATTTGCCAGAAATTAAAATTATAAAAATAAACTAACCTTGTTTGCTGGGAGTTTTACTAGGTGTTTTACTTGGAGTTTTCCTAGGAGTTTTACTTGGAGTTTTACTTGGTGTATTATGATTAGAAGCCGAAGCAGTTGGAGTTCGAGGTTGACCTCTTGACGTATCTCTACTTGGACTTTCATCATTTTGATTTCGCGGTGTTGCTGGTGGTTTCATAGGGCTTGGCATTTTACCAAGTTATTAATATACTATTACAACAAATATATCCGATAAATTTATAAATAATTTATGGTTTACAGAGTCACGTAATAAATGTGTACGACAACAATGCCTAACACTTGGCGTATAGTTTTTCCCGCGTAACTGAATACACTCTAACCTAAAATGCTTAAGGCTGTTTAACTACCAAACAACATCGTTGATTGTGTGTTGTACCTAAATTGAGTATAAATGTCTTTTAGTATTCTTTATTGACAATAGATTACACTTACATATAATTTTTTTTTGCTAAATATGAAATATCTTCAATTTTATTTTTGAAAGTAATAACACAAGTAGATAAATAAATCATCAATAATAATTATAAATCTATTTTTCTGGAAAGTGCAGCTAAAAATAGACAAAATATGATAATAAAATGAACCTAAGAAAATTTTCTCACAATAATTCATCCATTTTTTTTTAAAGAAACTTTATTGATTAATTCTTTGATTTAACATTAACACACTTAGTTTTTTTTTTTTTTTTTTTTATAGATAATTGTTATTAATAACACAGTTAATACTTTTATTTTATTATTAAATGCCATAAAAGGGATTATTGTTTTTCAATAATTCTCTATTATTATTGTAATTGTGATTATTTTCCAATTTTTTACTTTAAAAATGAGGATATTCAATCCAAAATCAGATACCTTAACTCGTGTATAACACTTAAAATTACTTTTCCATGCCATGAAAATATCTTAAAATATTTGATATTTATTTCATCACTAATAAACCATTGTAATTAAAATATTCTTAATCATCTTCAATGAAAATTAAGTTAGCCGACATTTAAAAATTTTTATAATTTTTTTTTATTGAAAAAATCATTACAAAAAAATTAAAAAAAAAAATTGCACGTCTAAAAAACTTCAAAAACTATAAGCGCAATTTAAAAAAAAAAATGTTTTTGTTTTAATTTAATTATTAAAAAAAAAAATCAAAAAATTTAAAACGTCGGCTAACTTTAATGACATTCATCTTCACTGAATTAATCAGACTCATCAGAGTCGCTAATCTCCAACTGTTCAAGCTTGTTGTGAATTTCTGAAAGCAATTGCGGATTACGTTTAGAAAAATTACCAAACTCGTTCGATTTTTTTACTTTTTCATAATTGTTTAAAATAAATGTCAATGAAGATTGTCTTAAAATAGATGAATTGTGAGCTGTAGCCAATTCAAAATTCTTTAATGCGTTTTTAATATTTATCATATCACTCAATATGAATCCACAAGAATCTGCCAAGTTCTGAATTTGATATTTAATCCCGAATTCGAACAATTTCAATAAAATTTCAGAGTTTTTTTTCGTTTGTACTAATTTTCCTTGATACAAAAACATCATTAGTTGATCAGCATTTTTACCAACATGATTAACATTTTTTCCAACATCGGGCTCTGAGCAGCCAAAATGATTTTATGAGCTAGATATTTTTTTTCACCTTTTACGCATACTGTAACATCACTGAATTCTGGTTTATTCATATAATCTTTTATATTATCAAACAAATTTGGTGAAATATGGTTAGCAATATGGCCATGCCAATAAATTTTCAGCTCAACGTTTACATCGACATATAATCCTTTTCGAATTAGTTGATAATCTACGTGAACTGGAATACCGTTAATAGAACATGTATCTGTCCAATCCTTGAAATCTTTTCGCATCCATTTCCCTTTGGTTGAATTCACGTATACTTTCAATTCGATTGTTACAAATGCAGGTTTTGTATTACTTTTTTTAATCATGATATCTACCGACGGACCCATTCCATCTAGACTTGCCTTAATAACTACATTTCCACATACTGCCCTTTGTTCTGCATTTGGGTAAACACCTTCAGAATACCATTTATTTTCTTGGTCTATTTCAAAAATAGTATTAAATGTAATTGGTGGAATCATTTGGAAGAGACGTTTATGGAAACTTCCAGTCAGCAATAACAGTCAATTAAAAATTCTTTGCTTTTCCCGAGAAAAAATGTTTCTATATAATCTTATATAATTGTATATGATCATATATGATTATATATGGAATCATATATATAATTATATAGAATTATATATAATCATATATAATTATATATAATCATACATGATTATAAATGGAATTGTGTATGAGGTTATATATAATCATATATAATTATATATGACTATATATGGAGCGATATACAACCATGCAGGATTATATATAGTTCCATATACAAATATATATAATTATATAGAAATTATATTATAATTAAATTCGGTAAGATAAATAAATTATGAATTATGACTATCTAAATATATTATAAAATCAATTTTTATATTATATTTAAGATAAACTCATATGATGCATTAAGTAGATCTTAGAATCATTATTGTCTAAAATAGCAGCATAGCAGACAGAAACTTCAAGACGCACGGAGATCACCACAGTTAAGCAGCATTGAGTAGGGTTAATAGTTGGATGGGTGACTGCTGGTGTTATAGCCATAAAATTAGATCTAGATATTTTTTTTGCATTTTGATCAGTTATACAGAATTGCGTAGGACCATATTAAATACTCTATCCATAAAATTAACCCAATAATTAATTAGATGTAATAAATCTATAATTAAATATTGTTATATATAGTTATATATAATTATACATAATTATATATAATTAGATATGATTATATTTGGCCATTTTTCATATATAATCATATATAACCAATTTATATATAAATATATATAATTATATATAAATATTTTTTCTCGGGTTGGGTAACCTGTAAACATTTTGATTAATAATTACAATTTTGTATTGTCAACGATAAAAAATTATAAATGATTTCGAAATTATTAAATATTTCAAAAAAGTAACTTACAAACCACGTAATCGAAATAATTATGTAGATTTATAACATTCGGCTTGTTATTAACCTTATTGATGTATTTTTGCGCAGTTATCTTTACAGAGTTATTCTGATTTATAAATTTTTAAAAGTTTATTTAAACTGAATTACTAGTAAAATACGATAAATGAAATTCTAGGAAGCTTTTATAAAATTATTTTTAGTCTTGAAGAAAAGATAAGCAGCGTTCTTTTATTTCTGAGCTTTTCTGAACACGAACAGCCGTAAAAGAAGCAAAGAGCTCATCGCTGTGAAGTTAGTCATTTGAAAAACAATGATATATATGTATAACTTTCATATTTTGTCTAAAAGTCTGGTGGTGAAAAACAAAAAGAAAAAACGAAATGGTAGACACTTGATAATTTTTCTTAATTAATAAATTAGATCTAGAAAATTATTTCTAAAAAATTGCACTTATTGGAATTTTTTGATGATTCTAAAGATGGAATTTTTTAAATAGGTTTTTTTTTACAATACTAATATTAGAGTCGGCGTTCAACGATTTCTGGTTTTTTTTCATCAATTAAATTACAAGTAAAAAAAAATTGTTCAAATCTTCTACGTGCGAAATTTTTTCTTTTAATTTTTTTTGTAATAATTTTTTCAATAAAAAAAATTACAAAAATTTTCAGATCTCGGCTAATTTAATTTTTATATTTCTGTTTGCTATAATTTATTAGTTAAAAAATTTCTAAAAATTTTCAGATGTCTCTCAATTTCAGTATCATAATAGTATATATAATTATTCTTTCTGTCTTTTGAATGATATGAAATAATTAATTGATTAACATTTATTCATTGTATAATTGGCATAGCTACTGTTGGTGGATGAAGAAAAGGAGAATAAAATTTTATGAAAAAAAAAATTTCGTTTAATTTTTTTATTGATATCAAAATACTTGTTTCTTCATTAAATTTCCGTTTTATTGTTTAATTATTGAATTTATAAAAAATGAAGTTGAAATTTCAAAGAGGACTAATCGATGGGTTTTTCTATTTTATGAGACACATTTTTTCATAAAACTAAGGCAGTGAAATGGTTCGCAGCAATCCTCAGCAATAGAACACTTAAACAAACGATCGTATGCATTATAAATATGGATTGTGACAATAGATGAATTTTTAATTATGGAAACATTGAAGAATTAAACTACTCACAAATCCTCCAATTACCGAACATTTTTTATGTTCTGACAACACCGTTGTTATTGAAAGTAACATAACAATCATGACCCAATAAATAATTTTTTTCATCATAATTGGAAGATTTTTAAAATACTTCAAAAGCTGTAATGTAAAAGTATTTTATTATAAAAAATAGATAATAACACTTATTGATTAAAGTACATACCTTCAAATAATATTTATTTATATATTTACTTTAATATGTGAATCTGCCACTAATAAAATTAATCTTCAAATATCGCAATGTAATATATAACTGTTTTTATCTCAATTGATTACCGTTATCATTTTTCATCTAGTATTTTGTGGTTGTATTTATTATCGATTCATCAACAATTCTTACAAAAACTGATTTGTATCTATATTTAATTACGTAACATGTTCCAGTTATCAATTATTGTTGTTTTTTGTTTAGTTTTTTTGATAAATAGCAATATTATTCATCGAAATTCTTATATTCATTTTATTACTTTATTTAATATTCGATTATAATTCAAAGCGTATATCATACTTATTTCACGTAAGTTATAATTTTGAACGAGCATTTTCAGCATTTCTTTTTTCAAATAGCAAACAGACTTTACATATATTCTCCGCTACACTGATAAAATAATTAGTTTGATTCAAGTGAAAAAATCTTTAATACTTTTGAATCAAGTAAAAAAATTCTTGGCTCAAATGAATTTTACTTGAGCCAAGAAAAATTTCGTACTTTAAGAATTCCTTTTGCTTGATTCAAGAAAATAAAATTCTTCAAAATAATGATCTTGGCTTAGGATTTTTTCTCGTGAATCAAAATAATGATTTCATCAGTGTACCTAAACCAAAAAACATATATTTTTGACTAATCACAAGACCAATATATTAATCAAATATGATTAATTGTAGAATTAAAATTTTTTTTTGTACAATAAAAACTATACTGTGGACCCTAATTACCCTTTTATACGGTTTTGTAGTTTTAATTATTATCATTCAAGATAATTTTAAGCAGTTTTAGTAACAAGATTGGTTTGGCTTTTTTTTTTGTCTATCGTTTATTGAATTACATTTTTTTTATATTCTTCAATCAATATTCTTGATAACATTTAAAAATCAACTTTTTTTCTTAAATAAAAGTACATAAACAATAGTTAACATATTAAACAGATTATCTGAGTACTTATATTCTTATTTTTATGATGTGTAGATCATGACCGCATCAGGTATATCAAGTTACTGTGTTTATTTCAAGAAAAATTAAGTTGTACAGCTTCGAATTGATAAACACGTATTTAAGGAACGTGTACTCAGTGTTTTATAGTCATTATTATTATACTTTGGTATCTTATATACAGTACATTGACATCTTGTAACTTATTATTTGTAATAACAGAAAAGAGTTATTTTTCGATTTAATTATACTACTCCTATGTAGATATAAGTTTTTTGTCTGGCTATTAAAAATTTTATTTTTTGAATTCATTGTGATAATTGTTTAGATACAGATATAAGGATCCACTAAATTTTGGGCATGCATAATCAAATAATTAATTTAACTTTATTTCTTTTTCTTTTTTAATTTTGTACTTTTTTACGGTAGATTTAAAAATACAAACTTTTATTCGTTTCAATATATTTTTTAAATTTATTTTTTCCTACTGGTTAGTTTTTTTCTTTTAGATTAGATATTGATTTTAATAAGATAAGATCATTCAAAGTACAATTAGATTAATAAATAATAATTCAAATTATCACATAAATGAATTATATAAATATCTCAACTCAGACCTTAAACAATGAATCTAAATATCTTTATCCATAATGCATAAACAAAATCAGAAACTGATTTTTTTTTTTTCGTAAACTTTTACCTAAATATATAACGTATATATTTGATAATAGTGTCAAATTTTTTCTTAATACAGTAAAGGAATGTTTTTATATTTAAACATATTTTATAAAAAGTAATTTAAAAATTTTTTTAAGACAAATTTTAAGATTCTAAGTAGTTGAAAGTAATTTTTGAACTGTAAGACATACAATAATGTACGAATATATGGTTGAATCGTAGAATTACATTTTCAAAATTAATTTGCAGTGAATAAAATTTAAAAGCTATAATTAAGTTTAATGATAAATAAAAAGTTATTAGAAGAGCACATTAATAATTAAAACTTTTGAAGAAATAATTTAAAACGAAATTCATCATATTTCGAGCAGTTAAAAAAAGATAATTAATAATAATTAATAAAATGATTTCGTTGAATAAAAACGATAATAAATAGATACTTAATGATTAAATTTGTTTCTTGAAGCATTTCACAGCATCTGTGTTGTTGAATTATCAATTAAAAAATAATGTCATTACTATTAGGATCTACAATAAAGAAATTATTGTTTACGACATTTTTGAAACTTTTTATTGATTTTGGCAATCAATTCAGGATGTTGTTGACTAAAAGATTGAAAAGAATTAAGTTTACTGACTTCATCGTAATTGTTGACTGCAAATACTATCGCACGCAGTTGTAAAACTACTGATTCGTAAACAACAGAAAGTTCCAATGTATTTAATACATTTTCAACGGTCAACTTATTACTTAAAATGTAGCTACATATCATGGATAATTTCGAAATCTTATAAGCAGTTCCAATTTCAAGCAATTTCAATGCAGTTTTATGATCGTTGTGAGCTTTTTTCAGTTTACCCTGGTAGAAAAACATAACAAGATCATCCCCAACTTCTTCTTCAACATCAGAAAAAAAAATACAATTGGCGTTTGTTTCTTCCATGGTCGTTCGTAAAATATTTTCCAATACTGGACTCTGAGTAGCTAAGACAATTTTATGTACTGGGTACTCTTTGTTGTTTTGTACACGTATTTTAAGATCACTGAATACCGGGCTGTACAGATAATGTTTCAGATTATCGTATAAATTTGGCGAATTAATATCATCAACAAAGCCACACCAGGTTATTTTCAAAACTACATCCAGTCGAAATGGGCTGGTTTTATGAATTGCCTCCTCTATAGTAACATCTAAAAAATTAAATTCAATTTCATTTGTCCAGTTATTTGTATCTCGTATTATCCATTCTTTATTGTCAGCTTTTAATTCAATGATTGCAATTGTTGGTCTGGAGATTCCTTTTTTAATTTTAATGTCCGCGGAGTTAAACTTAGAGTCTGCACTAGCTGATACTTTTATTTTTCCAAATAATTCTTTGTATCTTCCGGATAGATCTATTGTGTAAGAAAACCATTCATCGTCATCGTAAGCTTTGACGTAACAATTAATAATAAGAGTTTCATAGGCAGCCATTGTTTTTTAATAAAGCTTAGGATTGTTAGTAGAATATTAATAATAAATTTATTCTGTAGATCATCTGTAAATAAAAAAAAAATTATTATCAGTATTCGATACTTATTCCAAAATTATTGTAGTCAAATCTCGTTATGAGTCCTATTAGTGTCTCTTTCATATTAACGCGAGTCTGATTAAAAAAAAAAAAAATACAAATGAGACTCATAACGAGACTCGACTGTAATGATAATAAAATAATTAACCTACAAATTTCAATTACACTAGCTATTCATATTTTCTTGTTAAATTTATCAATTGCAAACACTTTTGAGATTATGAGATTATTTATTTTTCTACTTATTTATGAAATTATTCAAAAAATTGACAATGCGCGAACCAATGTTGGCCGTTGAAGTTATTCTAGTGTTATTCTGGCTTCAGGCTGAAGTAAGCCGAAAAATTGTGTACAAAAGATGTCACCCACGATTGACATGCGCAGAAAAAAAAATACAAAAAAAAAGTATTAAAATTGATACGATATAAGTGGTTTACTTAATTTTATTTTTTATTTTTAACGGTAACTTCTCATTCATGAATATTTTTAATGCAATTATTCTATAAATTATATACTATCGCCAGAATTAAACATTACATAACGTAATGTTTACATTGCATAAAAAGAGCTCAAAATTTAATTGAAAGTATGAATATTGGTACAAGAACAACTCAACGGTTGTATAATTATATCTTTCGAGGATAAAATGTATATATTCCACTTTGATTAAATAACGAAACATAACGAAGTAACGAACAATAGGTACCTTATAAAAATTCTACTCAAATTAACGAATCAAAAAATGACACTGAAATCAAATGACATAAAAGTTAGCAGTCACTTAACTATATTTTTTAATTTTTTTTAACAAATAGATTTTTTTCAAAAAATTATTTTAAAAAAATTGCATTTTTTATTTTTTAAAATCTCTACATGTCGATTTTTTTTCTAAATTAATTTTCATTGAAATCAACAGTCATCTTATAATTTTTTAAATTTTTATGACAAATAAATTATAATGTAAAAAATTTATTAAAGAAATTTGATCTGTAGAAATGTAAAAAAATTATGAGTGCGAACTTTCAAAAATATTTTTTCTATCACAATTAATTTATTATAAAAATTTAAAAAATTGTCATAACAGTAGGTTTGCTGATTTTAGTATGATGTCAAAAACCTATTAAAACATATGAAGTTAATTAATTTTCCGTGTACATTGTAACAAATTTATTTGTTTAGGGCTTACGATCTTCTCTCCTGTCACCAAATTGTTCAGCTTAGTAAGTGTTAGTATTGACATTGCAAAAGCTGATGAAAATAAATCATAATACTGAAATCAGCAGACATTCGACAATTTTTCAAATTTTTGTAACAAATTAATTATAATAAAAATCTTTGAAAATTCCCACTTAAAATTTTTTTTAATTTCTACATTTGGAATTTTTTTACTAAATTTTTTTTCATAATAATTTAGTGGTTACAAAAATCTAAAAAATTGTTAGATGTCGGTTATTGACTTCAGTGTCATAAATAAATCATTTACTTTTCCAAACAGAATTGGAAAATACTTCTCTGATAAATTTATTTATTTATTTAACGCCTATTGGGAATATACACATCAATATATAATTTTTTGTATTTAATTATTAATATTTAGTATGAAGAAAAATTAATATACTATCTAGCACCAAATAAATATTTAATAATTACTATGACAATAATTTTCTCTTGATTATGGAATTAAATGAATGAATAAATAGATGAATAAAAGAGAGAATGAATTTTAGAAACATTGTTCGTTGAATACGTAGATAACTTTTTGAACCGCTTAATCATTAATTCCATGTTTTTACGGAAGCTATAAAACGAATACTCGTGAATGATATTGGAGAAAAGAAGCGTAATAAAACTAGATAATTTTTATACTTTTAGTAATTAAGTATCTTTAAATTCGATAAGAACATCTGTAATATTTTCTTGCACACTGATAGAAGGATTTGTTAATATTTAATAAGCTTTATTAACTGTTAATAAATAATTTTTTAACATCATGGGATTTAATAAATATTTATTAACAGTTAATAAGTATTTATTAAGTAGAATTTATTAACTGTTAATAAATATTTATTAATAGTTAATAAATATTTGTTAACTATTAATAAATATTTATTAAATATTAATAAATGTACTTTTCTCCCAAATAAATATTTATTGAATGTTAAAAAATATTTATTAAAATTTAATAAATTAAATTATTATCTTCAAATAAATCAAATTATTAATAGTTAATAAATCCTTCTATCAGTGCGTATATTGTGTTATTTTATCAAAATTATTCGAGAACTAACCATTGAATGTAACGCGTTAAAAGTCAATAATTTTAGCCTACTTGACTAACTTCAATGAAAATTTTTAATCGTAATTTTTACAGTCAAAAATCTTATTTATGATTACAAACATTTCAAACAATAATAATTAATGAGTTATATTATGTTTATAACAAAGTGCACTCTTTTTACTGCCTTATTTAAATAATTAATGATGAATATAATTCTTTGATTTTATTTCAAAATACGCAAAAATATTGCAATTGAGATGCGATAAGTTTGATCGTTCAGTTGGACAATTTTCAATCATACTTTAATTAGAAAAAAAGATTTAAAATAATTGAAAACGATTTGAAAAAATAACAAAGATTTAATTTAATATAAATACTATACATAAATATAATGTTTTGCATTGAGATAATATTTTCAAATCTACTTTTCCAATAAGAGAACTTCATAATTTTTTAAAAGCTTAATTTTCGAGCTAATTTTATTTTTTATATCTTCACACTACATACTTATTGTAAATGCTCTTATTATTTACTTATTTTATCAAATAATGAAATTTCACATTTTTTTTTAAATATTCTATATAAAATGTAATCTTATAAAAATACCCAAAATATAGATATTGAGTTTTCTTTATATTTGAATAGTATTAAGCTAAAATACCCCATTAGTGGCACCTCTAAGCCCCTATTAATGGCACTTTTTCTTTCAATGAAAAAATGTTCTACTTGGAATAAAAATTAAAAATTTTTTCGATCTAAAGGTCTTAAAAATTAGAAGTAATATATTCATAATAAAAATTAATGATTTCATTAATCAAATAAGTACCAAAATCAAAGAAAGTGTCAATAATGGGATCCCCACCACTAATAGGGTCTTTTACCCTATATTATATTAATCAAAAAAATTTTTAACATGAATATTTTAGTGAGAAAATTGAATGAAACGCTACTTAAAAAAAAAGATTAATATGCTGTAGTAGTCTATTTCTTTAGTTCAACAATATTCTTTATTCAAGTTATAACTATACTTTTTACAATATCCGAATGAAGTTATTATTATTTTAATTATTGATAGTTAGATTTTTCAAGATAAAAATCAATTTTACCATCTTTGTCAACAGAAGTTACTTTAATACCCTTTAACAATGCAATTTTCCTAATAATGTCTCTGAGTAATGGATCAATCTTATTAGGAAATGGTTCTCTCATAATATTATTATTAATGGTAAAATTATCACAAAATTCAGATGCTATTTTTCTGTATTCTTGATTCTTAGCATCTGAAGATAATTTAGCCACATTTAAACAAGATGACTGCATATTCTGTTTGATTATTAAACTAAAACGTTGCAACTTATCAGCTAAATTAAGTTCTTTTGTCATTTCTTTATTGTGTGGATCCATTTTTAATCCTAGGTTCAATTTTTCTATCGCTTCCTGATACTCGCCCATTTTTATTAACGCTCGTCCATAGTGAAAATAAGTTTTAGCTGTTTTATTAACAACATCATTACAAGCAATACATGCTTTACGTGGCATGTTTTCTTTATTGTAACAAACTGCTAAATTTTGGTAAGCACGTGATAACAAAGAATTATAACGATTTTCTTCTTCATCGTTATCTAAATGAGAGTTCTCTAAGCGATCAATCGCACGCTTATATTCACTTATTGCTAATTTTACTTGTCCACGTTGGTAATTATTGGCACCGGTAAGTAATGATTGTTTGATTGATTTTTCAATTTTAAGAAATACTTTACGATCTACAGGTTCAAGTAATTTAAAGTCATCAGTTTCTGTGTTGTCATTATAGTCTGTCAGTTGAACGATGAACATCACTTCAGAATTACCCGGTATGGTTGGCCAACATCCTATTTCTCCATAAGCTAAATCCGGATCAATTAAAAATAATGAAACTTCGTGTTTTCGCATACTCTGGATTGATAAATCTAAACCCCAAATCAATTCACTGTAACTTAAACGAAAGCGACTGACACTTTTACGATGGTAGGTTGAATCAAATGGATTGTCTTGACCTTCAAGATAACCTGAATATTTTACTGTAACTAGAGAATTTGCAGGTATTATGTTTCCAACACCTTGTTGAAGGATTAATTTTTTTATCTGTAACATAAATATATATTTTTATTTATTTCTGTAATTTATTAATTAGAATTCATGGATTTGATTTTGTCTACACTCTAATTCCCAATGTATTAGGCAGTTAGGAATAATCGTTTCATTATACGATCAGCGTCTTAAGATAAATTTATTGTAAACAACATCTTATATTCTGAGTATATATTTTATCATACTTTTCTTGGTATTCACGTTAACAAGATATGTATCCAATTTATTTACATTGAAAGAAATAAACAAATAAAAGCAATTTATAGTAATTAATATTTGAAATATAGAACGTAAATTTTCCATCATAATATTATTAAATAAACTTATAATAAGTATATAAATAATTATTAATTATTATTATTATATATTTAACACATATACACAAAAAAAATTTACTTGACTCAAGTGAATAGTTTTGAATAACTTTATCTTCTTGATTTGAGTAAAAAAATTCTTAAACTTAGAAATTTTTCTTGGTTTAAGTAAATTTTACTTGATTCATGAATTTTTCTCTTTATGTAAGTTAATTTTATTTTCGTAAATATATATGTATATGTATACATATTATTACCTTTCCATCGTCGCGTAAATTTTGCATTTTTTCTTTTATTTTATCAAAATTGAGACCTGGTAATACAGTGGCTTTACATTTTTTACCATCATCGTTATCGCGGTCGTCACTATCATCATCCCGCTCGTCGTCTGATATATCAAGATTAATAAATTTGAGTAATTCATCATCAGTAAAATTGACATGTGGATCAAATTTAAAACGTTCATGGTCATTTTCATCAATCTCATTGCCGTAATTAAATATGACACCATCATCTGACATTAGATCTCTGTAATAAAAAATAATATTTTAGCACACATCACGATCAGCGATCACATCAGTATATGCTGTGAGCTAGCAGGTTACTTGATGACATTTAACATGCTAAGCAAATTGAATAGTTTATTTAATCCTTATTGCAAATACGCTAATTACAACCAAAACATTACTATTGTGCTTAACAAAAAAAAAATAGATTAAAAATAATATGAACACACCTGAGATTGACACCAAAAACTGGATCCACGCCGTTAGCCATGATGATTGATTGAATTAATGGTAGAGAACGTAAACTTTTGAATGTGAGCTTTGTTTTTAGTCGTTTGAAATATGATCCACGGCGCTTACGACGCTGTGTTGCAATGTAATGATAAAAAAAATAATTCAAATATTTGCTACAAGATGGCTTCAGGAATAATCTGCGCTTCATTCGGAGAAGTTGAAAAATTACTGTGCGAGACATAAATTTAATTTTTTTCAAAATGATATAAAATAAATCGCTATTAAAAGTTGAAGCGATTTGAAAGTTGTATTTAGGAATTTGGGGTTACAAAAACAGGTACTGCTTTCTGCATCCTACGTTCCAAATTTTATTGATGATAATGAGGAAGAGGAATTAATGAGACATGTTAGTTCATGTCCATTACCTAAGCAGACCCAATTGAGTAAAAGGCGATTACAAAATTGGGATGGAATTCCACATCAAAAAGGGAAGATCACTGAAGAAATACCAAAAATATTTGTTTTTTAATATTAAATAATTATTTATTAATTATATTTATCATTAATGATCATTAATCTCGAGATGTTTGTTATCACGTCCATAGACGGCATACAATAATTTTTTTACAAATAGATTCAATAACATGAAACATATTTTCAGCTTTAATTATCATATTACTGCTTCAGATATTATTTCGTTTATTCAATAATGAAACTTATTTTGAAAATTATTACAGTTAGATAATCTTCATTTCCAGTACCATGATTTCTATTATTAAATATTTAGACTACAATTCGGCTGACCAATTTTAAAACACAGTAACTGCAAAATTTTTATACCTGATTTTTTTTAGTATTGCTGCATTTTTTATAACTTTTAAACCTTAATTTCAAGTATTTTTCTTAAAAATATTTATATTTGTAGTAGTTTCTATTCATAAATCAAATTTGTCATTAATTTGGCGGGCAAACTTTTTAAAATTATTACAGTTAGATAATCTTCATTTCCAGTACCATGATTTCTATTATTAAATATTTAGACTACAATTCGGCTGACCAATTTTAAAACACAGTAACTGCAAAATTTTTATACCTGATTTTTTTTTAGTATTGCTGCATTTTTTATAACTTTTAAACCTTAATTTCAAGTTTTTTCTTAAAAATATTTATATTTGAGTAGTTTCTATTCATAAATCAAATTTGTCATTAATTTGGCGGGCAAACTTTTTTTTAATAAGAAAAATTGAAAAAAATTTTTATATGTTAGTTACTGTATTTTGAAATTGGGCAGCCGAATTACTTATAAGACAATTTTTAAATTTGAATAAAATATTTGATTTGTTACAAACAGCTAACGTAAAAGACCCAATCATTCACAGTGGCCTAATTGTTTGACACTTGCAATTTTCTTCTAATTAGAAACATAAAATGTTCTCAAAAAAACAATTATCTTAAAATTTATAATTCAAAAATTATATTCGTTAATTTATTAGAGTTGATTTGTTTTTTTTAATTAAAATAAAATTGCAAGTGTCAATAACTGGGTCTTTTACCTTACTATTTAATTGATTTCATCTATTTACAATTATGTCTTTGTCTGATAGTTAATTAAATTAAATTTATTTTATTTTTATATGGAGAGATTTAAATATTTGTTACTTCAACTGTGTTTTAAAAATTTTCATGGTCATAATTATAGTAATTATTTTTTATATTATGTTCAATTTTTTTTCTTTATTATTAGTAAATCTCACACACTTCTTGAGGTTACAGAACGCTTAGATACTGAAGAAGTACATTACAATAATTTTTTTTTTATAGTTATTAATTATTACAGATCTCTCTATCATAATATTATTTTCAGGATCCAAGACAGCTGAAACCAGAGTTTTCATTTTTGCTTCAACAAAGAAGTCTCTTAGTTCTTCAACATACATTAGATCATGACTATTTACACTCAATATCTGGGTACAATTGTGATACAATTGACTCAAATTACATACGCAATTTAAATTTATGTTCATATATATGCGAAGAAAGTGAAAAACTTAATCACAAAACAAGAATTTCATTGACCATACGCCATGTGCCAAAAATAAGTAAACTAAAGCTTCAATTCGAATTTTCTACATTTTTTAACATAAAGTTGACAATATTTTCAATTGATGTCATTTTGACAAAACCTATTAATTAACTTCATAATTTTGTAAAGATTTAAATATTAGTAGTGTATTGACCGATCTTCAATTTATTTACATCAAGTATGATGTACTAATATTATTTATATAGAAAAAAGTATGAAAGTTAATCTTGACACAGTACTCATGATGATACTTGCATGGCTACATCATTATCTTCATAATTTTCGAGGCTTACATCCATTATTTCTTCATCAGACTCGTCTAACATCTCTTCTAACGAATGAATTGATGACATTAATACGTGGAATTGTTTTCTCCGCATCTCCAATTTATGTTCCAGCTGCTCAGATTTTTCCTAGAGTAAAACAAAAATAATTCATTTCTTTTGTTCATCCACGTTTTTTTTTTTTTTTTTTTAGTTTTCTAAATCTAAAGGATTGAAGTGAAAGTCTATAAATAATATTATAGATAAGAAAACATTTTTACCAACTATACATTTGTATATTCTTTAAAAGTAAATTTATATCTTTTTAAAAAGTTAATTTTTTTTTGTTAATACTAAAATTAAGAGGAATTAACAACTTTTCGCTTTCTTTTAAACGGAATATTAAAAATTAGGAAAATATTTGCATCTACAAATTACAACTTTGAAGAAACCATAAATAAATCTTTAATTCTTCGCCTTTAGTATCAAATAAAATTGTCAAATATCTACTAGCTTAAGAATCACATTTTCAAAGTGTCCATCGCAAATATACTTATTTTTTATAATATTGAAATTATAAGACATTTGAATATTTAAAAAAAATTTTTTAAACAAATAATTTATTACCAAGAAAGAATGGAAAAAAAATTGTCATCAATAATTTTTGAAAATTTCTAAAAGTAGAATTTTTTCAGATTACTTCAGTTATTTGCTTGTTGAAAAAAAAATTAGAATTATTAGATGTCTCATAAATACGGTATCATTTATTTCTAACTTAAGGAATATTGCAATATTACGATAGTATAAATAAAATAATTACCTTTAAAAATCCAAGTTCTTGTTTCAAAGTCTCCAATTTCAAATTAGTCTTTCTTCTATCAGGCTGCTCGTTGATAACTTTAGCCAGGACATCATACTCGATTCGATTCTTGCGTATCTGTTTGGCTTCTTGCAACTCAGCTTTTGTAGTTTCAATATCCTTTTTGGCCTGTTCTATTTCAATTCCTATGTCTTCGTATAATTTTTTATAATTTTTCAACTCATCTTGACTCATAGCCGATACAAAACGTGATTTTTTCTGAGCAAATTCACTCTGGGCAAGACTAGCCAGAATACGTTCATGGAGCGTGTTGTCAACATCCGGATTATTAGCCCACTTTATAAATGACTTTAATAACATATTTATCCGTCTGTCATCGCCAATACCGTCTCCATCAACGAGCAAACGACGTCTTATCACTTCTTCATCAGACATTTTAATTTATTTAATTATAATTATTTAAACTATTTGTGCAGTTACTCACACGTGAAGAGAAACCGGTAACTTTAAGTTATGACACTGTTTATATTTATATTTATTTAGTTAATACTTATTGGCCAGGTGCACGATGGTGCTGCCCTCATTTTTCATGCTTTTCCTATGTTAAATCAAACGGAGTAATTTAGTTCCAGTGGTCGCCATTAGCGTTAAATCATGCTCTTCCTATAAGATTCACACGTAAAAGTGGTAGTCAGCGCCAGCCCTCCCCACCATATACTTCGCACCCGGCCAATACTTATATATTTACAAGTTTGTACACAGGTATGAGAATTACGTATACTAAATCACGTGCTAACTAAAGATTTATGCGCATGCGTCTACTTAGGAACAGCAGCCGCCATCTTTAAAAAAAAAAAAACGCGGCAAACCACCCTTAAAATAATTTTGACAAATTTAATTATATACTGCAACTTCTACATTTTCGCCATTTTTTAAATGAAAATTAAGTTAGCCGATATCTGAAAATTTTTAGAATTTTTTTGTTTATTAAAAAATCATTACAAAAATTTGAAAAACTATAGGGTGAAGTATCCGATACCCAGCCCCCACCCAGTAGCCAGCCCCTTTTTTATATATTATTAAATAAATAATTAAATTTGAAACAGTAACGGAAAAAAAAAATTTTTAAATTACCACCCATTCTTTTAGTACCAATAATGACCGCTACAACATTTAGCGTAAGTATCGTATATGAAAACAAAGCATGAGTATATATATACATACTATTCTCGTTCTGAGCGGCAACTGGCGCTATTTTCTTAATTATTTGTTTACGTTCTCCTACTGATTGCAAGTTATTTACAAAAGATTTAATACGAAAATTAATAAAAGGTGAGTTATGTTCAATTAAAAATATGTTGATTAAATAATTTTGATAATAATTTGTGACATTTAATGCAATATAATTGAAAATTATAGAGGCTGGATATAAGGTTCATTTTTGACATTTTTTGATTTTTTCCATCACTCAGCCGGGGGGGCTGGGTACTGGTTATTTAGATTAAATAATGTTTATCCTAATGCTCAGCCTCTTAAAAAATTCAAATTTAAATTGTTAGAAGTGTTTTTTTTTGTTGAATTAAATTACAATCTAATTAATTTACAATCTAAAATCATTTTTTCAGAAAATATAAATGTCTCGTGCTTGCAAAAAAAAGTTAAACTCCGGAAAAAAAACGTTACGAAAAAAAAATAAAATTGAAAAACCTGTAAAGAAGCAATATAATCAAGATCAGTTAATGAAGGCGTTGTGTGACATTAGGAGCGGTATGACGATACGAACTGCTAGCCGTCAATATAATATTCCTCGAGGGACTCTTCAAGATCGTCTTCATGGTCGAGTATCTGCGAAGATATTGGTAGGAAGGGGCCCAACACAGTACTCACAGCACTTGAAGAAAAAGCATTGGCAGATTGGTGTAAGAATTTAGTCAAGTGTGGGTTTCCCTTGAAAAAAGATGACTTATTAAATACTGTAGCACAAATAATTAAAAAAGATGAACGAAAAACACCGTTCAAAAATGATCGTCCAGGATTGAAGTGGTACAATGGTTTCATGAAGAGACATAACTTGACATCTAAGACTCCTGAATCTATTAGCAAAGGTAGGGCTGTAATTACTGAAGAACTAATCAAGAACTGGTTTATTGGACTTCAAAATCATCTTAAAGATGAGAATGTAGAAGGTCATCGTATATCCTACATTGCCTACATTTAGAAAATTTTACAGCAGACGGTAAGAACGGTTCATTTTTTTAACATGGATTAAATGGAATTTGACGGATGAAAATATATTTATTTACATTTTTAATATGACTTGAATAATATTGTTATGATTTTATTTTTCAAAAAAAGTCAATTTGTCAAATTTTGTGGGATACGTCGTATTAGAATGGCAGTATCGATATGTGAAATTATAGCGCCGCTGTTTTCTAATCACGTGATCAAAGTACTGACAGCACCTTACCTCGAAAGCGCCAGTGCTCACAGTACAATAGTATACCAAGTGTTGCTTAGTACAGTTATAGTTATAGTTATGAACAGCTGCTGTTGATAAGTTTATTTGATTAGGTTTGTAAGACAATTAACTTTTACCTTTCTTATTAAATTTATTTTTTTATAATACATGACCTTTACAATATTTAAACAGTATGTATTTATTTTACATAATTATCATTTTGTCTGATAAACGTCATTTATCATTTATCGGCTTGTCAGCCATGATATACATCCCCGTATTTATTTTTGTTATTTTTTTCTCATATCAAATACTTATCCATACTTTTTTAATCATCAAAATTTTATTTTACTCAGACAAAAATTTCTTCTTTCATTTTATCAATTTTGATCACTAAAAAAAAAAAAAAAAATAATACTTGTCATATTGTAAAACAACAAATTATTGATACTGAAAAATTTTTTTTCTTAAACTAAGTAATTTATTAATGACAGCAAATTAGGTAAGATATATTTATTTACTATTTTCAGGCAAAAAAATAGAGCGGTTTTTTTCTTTTTTTTTTTTTTATCTTTAATGCTGATAATAATAACAAGTTCGTGTAATGATAACGAGAATCGATAAAAAATAATATGAATAAGTACTCAATACAATAAAGTGATAAATATACAACTACCGAGAGATAATGTAATTATGGTGTTAATTTTTATGTTATTCTGTTTTTACAGTTAAGTACAGTTGTTTTCACGGCCATCGTCTTTACATCAGTGCACTCGGCTTTTTTTGTCCATAGTACACGCAATAGCATCACAACAACAATAATAAAACAATGTCTGATATAGATGTAGAAGTGGATGTGGATGGAGAAGATGAGGTCAGTAATAAAATTTAGAAATTTTTTTCTATCATAAATAATTAATAATGGTATTTTCTTTTATTTAAATGGATTTCGCAGTTTCTTGATGCTGAAGATGATGAAACGATTTCAAGGTGCTTTATTATTTTCTTAAATATCTCATTAATTATTGTTATTTATATTGTACGTCTGTATTATTTTATAATTTTTTTTTTAGCCCGCAGGCTTTGCCATCATCAGAAGCAACTAGCACCGCGACGATGGACTTAGAGACAGCGATCGAAGATGCTAAGCGGGCAACTTGTTTTTTTTTTAATAATGATTTTGCGAGTGCTAAAAAAATACTTGAACCTTGGGCGCACAAGAGTATGTATCACTCCCTGGGAAATAGTGTATTTGCATGTCTTGAAGCTTTTCTAACTTTCGAACAGGTACTTCTTATTGGATTCTAACTCTTCATCTCAAAATTATTTAAATCTTTTATTTATTTAATTTTATCTTTTATTTTAAAATAATTATTGTTAATGGTTCTATATAATATATTTTTCTAGAAACATATAGAAAAGGCTGTGGATACTTTGAAAATTTGTATGAATGTTTGCTCAAAGCACCGACGTCACGTAACACTTACACAGAATATCGGAAAAATGGTGAAAAAAACCAACTACAACTTGTACACAATCGGTTGAGTATTTTATAATATTTTTATTTTTTAATTTATAATTTAATTGCTGTCGGTGTGTATGTTTACAAATAATTTAATGCTACTATAATTTTTTTTTGTTACCACAATAATGACTTTAATCTACGAAAAAATTGATGGCTGATAGAGCAGTCATTTAAATTTAAAACAAATGGACATACACACTGGCATAAATATCTACAATTAATTTTTTTATTGCATGACTATGAGAAATTTAATAACTAAAATAATAAGCGTATTACAGAGGAGATACATGCTGAACTATGCTATGCTGAGTCACTATTATTGAAGGCGATGCTTACATTTGTCGAAGATGAAACTCTTGTGAGTTTTGTCAAAGCTGGATTAAAAATACGTACATGCTACCTTATTTACAAGTAATGTTATTTATAAATTTATTCATCAATTATAAATTATAATTTACAATAATTGTCGTAACTTATATTCATAAAAATTGACAATTTATGCCATGCATATTATAACTTTTTCTCAACTATTTCTGTATTGCATAACAATAATTAATAATTTTTTTTTCCATTTACCCGTACTTATTTTTAATAATAAAAAAAACAATCAGAGAATGTTTGACAATTCTTACATCACGGAAATGGAAAAATGATATTGAACGGGTACACTTTGAAAGTGGTGTACGTATGGGAATTGGTACTTTTAATTTGGTACGTTTATAATAATTAATTAACTACTTAATTTTATGTGTATAATCTTAATATAATTTTTTATTTAATAATTTGTATGTAAGTAACAAAATAATTTATTTTAGATGATATCACTTTTACCAGGACGTATTATTAAACTATTAGAATTTATTGGATTTTCTGGTGACAAGGTAAAATTAATTTCTTATAATTACATTTATAATTATAAACTTATTAAATGTCATTGAAATAATAACATTGACATAAAACATTTCACAGATCAACGGATTAACGGAATTAGAAAAAGGATATGAAGATCGTAGAGGATTACGTCAAGTACTTTGTGCAATGACACTATTATCGTACCATCTAATAACGTCATTCGTACTAAGTCACCGCGATGGTGATCTCGACTGGTGTGATAAGGCATTAAAAAATGAATTGCACCATTATCCAGACGGTGTCTGGTTCTTGTTTTTCAAAGGTCGTCTCGAATTTATGAAAGCCAATATTGAAAATTCGATCCAGTGGTACGAAAAATCATGGAAAAGTCAAAATTTATGGCCACAATTTCACCATTTATGTTTCTGGGAGCTCATGTGGGCACATTGCTGCCAACAAGACTGGGATTCGGCACTATTTTACGCCCGGTCGCTGGCTGAGCAGTCCAATTGGTCGCGTACTATTTATTTGTACCAGCAAGCAGTGCTAATGATAATGAAACAGCAGCAGAATGAAAAGGATCAGCCCAAAAAAGCTTCTTCCGCTGCCGACCTAGAAAAAATTAGTAGTTTGATGACCCAAGTACCTACATACAAACAAAGAATAGCTGGTAAATCATTGCCTATGGAGAAATTTGTCGTTAAAAAATCCGAAAGGTATTTTTCACAAAATAAAACTCTGGTTCTTCCTATTTTTGAGTTGATGTTTGTGTGGAATTTATTCCGCATTATTGGAAAGCGTTCGGACCTAATAGTTAATGTTTATAAAATAATTGAAGCTGAAGAGAAAACTTTAAGCCAAACGTAAGAAATTTCTTTATATTTTTTAAATAAGTCCAATGACATACTTATTTTTATTAATACTCTAAGTGTTCATAAATATGGATTGTACTTATTTTAAAGTAAATTTAATAGAGGATGAATGCATATAATTTTATTTATGTAACAATTTACAGACAAAAACAGAAATATACGGCCGATAATTTAGGATTATTATTATTAATAAAAGGAACATGTTTACGTCAAATGAAACTTCCTTTACAAGCAGAAGATTGTTTGAAACGTGTTATTGAAATGGAAAAAGAAATTAAGGAAGATTGTTACCTAGTTCCTTACGCTATGGTTGAACTAGCGGTACTCGCGCGTGATAGAAGTGATAATCAAGGAGCTGTCAATCTTTTAGAAGACGCCAAGTATTTATTTATTTATTTATTTATTTTTTTTTTTTTTTTTGTGAATCTGCTTATATTTTAGCTAAAATAATATTTATTAATCGGAATATTTTTTTTTGTTTTCAGAAAAAATTATACAGGATATTCATTAGAGTCAAGATTGCATTTTAGAATTCATGCTGAATTGATGGATCTCAACAATCAAACCAGTAATTCAATAACGCCTACATCTGCTACCGTCAGATCCGGCAGTTTAAAATCTTCGTGCTCATCAGCAGCGAACTCTAACACTAAAATTGCTACGACATTAAATGATGACTCAAGAGTTTTAATAACAAAATTCACCAAAATTACCGAATTAAATAGTTAAAGTCTAAACCAATTTTTTTTTTTTTTTTTTTTTTTTTTTATAAGTTATAAAATTATTTATTAATATACAAAGATATTATTTTATTAGATATTATATTCATAGTATATTAATATAAATGGCATTATTGAAAAAAATTATTTATTAATATATAAACGGTGTAATTATTTATAAATATTTGTGTATATAAAGAAAAGAAATGAATAAATTTATGACATGAATATTTATACAGTAAATATAAAAATGATAAATAAATAACTTTACATTTATATCATCAATGTCAAATAATTATTTATCTACTGAGTTTTACGGTTTCACGTGACTTGATATTCTTGATATTTGTTACTATACATAAATCTATAGTTAGTTTTTTGCAGTTTTTTAATGGAGATTATTTACTGTGCTGAGATTATCAAACAAAATATTATTAAATACCAAAGTTTGTGTTTAAAAAAAATTAATTGAATTATTATTTTGTTAATAAGTATTAAGGAAAGAAGGTATTATGGTTTTAGATGGATTGAGAGGTGGTGGAAGCGGTGGAAGATTTCCATCAACATTTTCGGTTATTATACTTTTTATAGTCTGTTTTATTGTAACATGTAATTGGTGGAGCTTGTCAACTGAGAATATTGAATTAATTAGTCAAGTTGATCAATTACAGGAAAAACTTAAAACTAGGTAAAAAATTCAATTTTTTTTGTAATTTAATTATAATTTATTTATTTTCATGATTATTTATTCATATCAACTCTGTAGTAATTAATTTTTTAGAGCTGATACTATCAGTAAATTTTTATTGTTCTTTATGTATATTGACATATCGACCGTATTCAAAGAAATTAAAAGTCATTGAATCTCTAACTGTACTAAAAATAACAGATGTAATAAAATTTTTTATTTTTTAATCAATAATGCATTGTCAAAAAAATTAGCAGACACTTGACAATTTTTTGATTTTTACAACAAATAAATGATTGCTAAAAAAACACTTTCAAAAAAATTACATCAAACACTTGTTGAAACATCTACAAGTGAAGAAGTGGAATTTTTTAGAAAATTTTTTTTATTAGAAATTTATTTATAGAATATTGCATTTATAATTTTTTAGAGCTATACTTTAATTGAAAATAATCTTATAGAAATAACTTTGTAATTTTATATACATGTAAATAGATTTCTCTTTATTTTTCTTTATTTTTTACTAGTATTGAAGAACGTGACAAGTATCAAAGTATTGATGAGAATCTCAAAGAGCGCTTAAACGATGCTGAAAATAAAGTAGCGATGATGCATGTCCGTTTGCAGAATCAAAATGAGCTGAAGAAACAAAGCGATGATTTGAGTGTTTCACTTTCCATGTGCAAAAGTGAACTTGATTCATTGAACAAACTTGATGTCACCAAAACGGCGACGTTAGAAGCACTGAGACTTGAAAAAGATCGGATTTCTACCCAAATTTTATTAAAGAAACAAGAGATTATTAATCTCATGGCTGATGTCAATCGAGTATGTACATTAATTTTTTTATCTTCATTTTTTTAGCGCACTAAAATACTAATATTATTCATTTTATAGACTAATACTGAATTGGACAAATTAAAGAAAACTTGCAACAGCAACAAAGAAAATAATGAAAATATAAAAGACTTATTACCAAATAATGGTGATGTTTCAAATGAATTGGAAGAAAACTCACTACTAAATAATGAAGAGAACACAAATAAAAAATTAACAAATGAAAATACAACACTCAAAGCGGTAAATAAAATAACTGAGTTACCAGATATTGTCTACAATTTAATAAAAAATAAAACTAAAAAAAATGATAATAATATTAAATAAGTAAATAAATAAATTTTTATACTCGGAAAGTATTTTGATTAAATAATTATTTATTGCACACCACAATTAAATTTACATTTTTTGTCTCAATATTTTTTGTCAATCTTTAATATATTTATTGTGTAAAATAAATATCTATAAAATTACATCATTATTCAAACTAATACATACTCCAAATATGTATATTTTTTTCTACATGTAATATTATTAATAATGGTTAGTGGCCATTTAAAATATTATTATTTATACTACAACACGCAATATTGTCTCTATCGATGATTTATTAAGATAAACTATTTATAAAAAAAAAAAAATTAACATTAAAAATACAAAATAATAAACAAATTATTTTATAACAAAACGATTAAAAACTATCTATACAGTCAAAGTGTGTAAAGTAAATTACAAGCTTAGGAAATGAATATCATTTGAGATAAGTAAAATAAAATTAAATACTTTTTTATGGTTTTTGTATATTTCTATTTTTCCTACGGAAAATGAAAGCAAAAATGGAACGCAGTCTCCTCCATCGGCTGTGTGACGACGAATGTTTCTTTTGTGCACGCGTTGTACTGTCATTGTCTTGATTACGCTCTTTTAAGCGTATTTGTCTTACGAGAGAATAAAACGCATCGTCTATAAATTGTCGAAGTGCAGCGGATGTCTCAAAAAATGGACATCCCAATTGATTTGCTAATACTTTACCTTCTTCAGTTGTTACCTTAAATAATTTATGGTATTACACAACAATAAAAATTAAATGAAGAAATGATGATTTTTAATTTATTTAAAATCATCAATTAAAAATCCAAGCTAAGTATAAGTTTAAAAATTACCTTGCGTTGTGATTGTAAATCAAATTTATTACCAACCAATACTAAAGGAATATATTCTTCATTAACACGTACACGTGATATTAATTTACGATATTCAGGTACTTCTTGGAAACTATGTCTATCTGTTACTGAATAACATATCATAAAACCTTCACCACATCTCATATATTGATCCCTCATAGCTGTAAATTCAATCTACCGCAAAATAAAAATAGTAATTATAGATTTATTTATAAAAAAAAATATTATTCTTGAAATATAAATAGTCATATATTATTACCTGTCCAGCAGTATCTAAAATATCTAAAAGAGCTGCCTCACCGTCAATAACTGCTTGTTGTCTGTACGAGTCCTCTACAATATTCATTTAATTCCAGCAGCATTAGCAAGACAAACTATTTTATTATCAATATAAATTTTTAATTTATCATTTATACTAAATAAAACACTCTGGTAAACTATCCGATCAACTAAAATATTAGTGTCATGTTAATATTTCCAGCAATTAATACTCACCAATAGTTGGATCATGATACTCAAGAAAACTGTGGGTTACAAATTGAAGTGTGACAGCTAAAAACCAAATAACATTTCATATAAATTTATAGTATAAGTGATGACTGATGGTTTATTGGTTTTAAATAAAAGTACCTGATTTTCCAACGCCTCCATCCCCAAGTACAACAATTTTATAAATTCTAGGCTGCACACAACGTGTATTAAGCTGAATGACATCCGTAGAAAGTGGTAAATCCTGTCTTTTATCATCAGCTCCTCCATTCTGGTGCTGCTGATTATTACTTGTTGATTCATTTTTTTTATAGTCGTCATTGTGGTTCAATTTGTTCAAGTCTCCACATATGTTCATTGATTCACAAACTTTAAATACCTCTTACACTCTGCAATCAGTAAATAATTTTTATTAGTTAATATAATATATTTAATTAATTAATTCAAATAATTTAATTATTTGTCAAATATATACATATACATATATATAAATATACCTGTTATTGCGGCGTGACAGTATTTACATATAAAATAATAATAATGATAATACTTGTGACAATAAAACAAAAATTTATTTAGGTCTATGACAATTAAATTTGTAATTTAATTGAAATTACACTCACGCTCATTATTATCATCAATAAATGTGTCATTATGCAATTAAATTTTATCTACTAAATATTGCTTTTTTTTTAGTGTCACTTACAGTTAAAATTGTTACGCGCATTGTTTAAATTATTGATCATACCTATTTCTTCTCATATATACCTATTAAAGGTATATATATACTTACCTACCTGTGCTTATACATTTATCATTTATACTTATATATATATATATATATATGTGGGTGTGATTGGGTGTGTTAATACTCAGAACTAAAATTCGAGAATCGATATAATATTTAGCTCGACTGTGTCAAGAAAAGTAAATAAAGAGAATTGTCAATTCGTTTGATATTTATTTTTTATTATAAATTTATAGGATAAATAAATAGAAAAAATGGAGTCAATAGCAGGAAAAATTGAGGAAGCAAATGGGCAATCACAGAAAAATCAAAAGTTAAATTCCTCTGGAGTGACAGCTGATTATGATCATGATCGAGTAAGGTTAGATTATTAATAGTATTTATTATTTTTCATTTACCTAATAATAACAAAATGCTTTCTTTATTTTATTTTTTTCATGGTAATAAAGCCGCAGGAAATGACAGCTTCGTATTCGGAAATATCTTTTGATTCCCAGCAATCATCACCGCCTGTTTCTGAACTACGGTCGCTAGTTCTTGGTGATGATGACGATGATATTGATGATGACAATGACATTCCTGGATTGCCGGATCATTTGGATGACGATTTTAAAGCTAACTGTAATTCAGCAATTCCCCATGATAGACCGGCTAAACTAAAATTAAAAGGTACAATTATTTGAATCTTTTTTTAAGTTAAAAATTTTAATTTTTTAATGATACTGAATTTAATAGACATCTAACAATTTTTTAAATTTTTATAACATAAATCTATATCATAAATTATGATAAAAAAATTTTAGTCAAAAAATCCTACTTGTAGAAATTTTAAAAAATTGTAAGTGTGAATTAAAAAAAATTTTTTTTTTTATAATTGGTAAAAATTCAAAGAATTCTTAAATGTCTGCTCATTTCAGTATCATATTTATTACGCGGGAAATAATTAGAATTTAATGTCAATGTATTAAAATTCATTACTGTAAAATTCTTTTATTATACTCAAAAAATTCTTTATATTAAATTGACATCAAGTTATAATCATTTATCATCCAATATTTTTTTTTTGTTTTTTTTGTTTTTTTTGTTTTTTTTTTTTTTTATGATTTGTAATGTTAATACTAATGATAAATTTTATTTAGAACCAACGAAACCATTTACTCAATCAGACTATCGTAAGGCAATGGGTTACCTCAGACTTGAAGCAGGAACTGTAATGCAAGACGGTGACATGGTTTTATTTGTCGCTGAAGATTTAGAAAACAAAATAAAATTATCAAGTCCAATTACCTCAAGTACTAGCAGTAAAAAGAGCGGAGAGTTATCATTTTCAGGTTCATCTCGTAGTTCTACGCCCTGCCTTTATAGACAAGCATTGAATCCTCAGTTGCCTTTACCAGCAGATCACAATGTTTTAAATGAGTTAGAACTAGAAGCTAGAAAAATAGCGACTTCTGTTGATTCATTGACTGAAAATTTAGCTGCTATTTTGCACAGTGTGAGTCATTAAATAATATTATTTATTAATCATGTGTTAAAAATTGATTTACTTGTTATATTTTCACAGGCTTCTGCAGTTACTGTCGATTGTTTGGAATCATACAGAGATGCAGTTTGTAAAACCTGTGATGGAGTAGATCATAATATTAAATCAATGTACCAGTTAATGGCAAAATCTGAAGAATTATCAAAATCGATGGGTTCTATCTACAAATTGGCCGATCAAATGTACTAGATTAAATATTTTTTATTAACTGTTCCTGTATTTTTTTTTTTTTTTTTTTTTTAACTGTTATTAATTAAACTATTATTAATTTGTTACAGAAAAACAATTAAACGACTGCTAGACTTATTCGAAGGAGCTATTAACTTTTGAATTTAATTCAATGCCTGTGACAATTAATGTATAAATAAAATATAAATTATAAATAAATTATTTGTTCATCTGTCTCCCGTGATTTTTTTTTTTAATTCAGTTGATAAAGCCAGCGCATAAGTTAATAAAAAAAAAAAATTGTTTATTTTCATTTGTTTACCTTGCAGAACATGGCAACAAAACTAAAAAAATGATTGTGTCTATATTTGATACCACTATAATGCTTTTTGTGTATTTGAATGCGTAGGTGGAGTTAGAGGAGAAAGGACGCCATAAACATATATATGTATATGTGCAACAGTACAGAGCTAAAGAGTAATTTTTTTTTATAACCTCCACCAAATAAAATTATAGAGTAGTCGAACAGTCATGTACTTATAATTATAATGACATAATATTTTTCACACTAACTTATTAACAATAATTATTAAATATATCTTTATTAATTAGATTATCTAAAGGTAGTTGTATAAATATTATACAATAAAGTAATTAGTGTTTGAATCTAAAAATGGACCTGGTAATATTGAAGGTAAAAATGAGTGTTAATTAAAAAATTAAATATTCAATCATTTTAATGTTAGTAATAAATATGTCAACAATCAATAAATTTAAACAATGTATGCAAAGTTTTTACGTTCATATTTTTTACATTTTTTTTTTTTTTTTCTTTTTTTTTTTTTAATTATATCTACTTTATTAATAAAACTAAATTAATTATTGGACGTTTGTTATTTTTAATTTTCAATTTCATAAAAGTAATAATTATAATTTATTCATTTAATTTTGATCTGACAGGTAAACGGTCAAGATGTTACAAATTCTAGTCATGAGGATACTTTAAAAATTTTTAAAACCGCACAAGAACCAATTCTCATAGAAGTAATACGTATGCAGCCCAATAAATGTAAAAATTCAGATAGCAATGATGTATCAATAAATACAATAGTCAACCATCCGCAGCAGCAGCAGCAGGTAACAAGTACCAAGAAATTATCTCCGATAGCAACAAGTTGTACATCAACTGGAGTGCAGACAGATTTAGCAGGGTTTATAAATGTTGATGATGACGATTATTTTTATAATTATTTTGTTTACGAGGACGACGTCGATGTTAACTACGAGATAGCGCAAGAACAAGATGAGGACGAGCTTGACGTAGATGACAGAGAAGCAGTAGAAATAAATGACTATTTATCAAATGCGAATGAAGATTATCATCAACTGGAGTCTTATAAACCAGAGGATGGGGACGGTGGTGGTGCTGATGACGTTTATCTTGAAGAAATAACCCTAAGGAAGAGCAAGAGCACTGAAAATCTTGGTCTAACAGTATCGTATAACTATGACATTACTTCTGACCGCAACAATCCAACGGACATAACCGCTGTCGCCTATATTTCCGAAATAGCTCGCGATAGTTTAGCTGCACGAGACGGTCGCTTGAAGGAAGGGGATCAAATTCTCCGGATAAATGGTCGTGATATTGTAAATAAGGAACAAATTGATAAGATTTTTTCACAAACGCAGAATAATATTGTTAATATTCTCATCAGCCGGTGTGTTGGTCAAAATACACCGCCACCCGCACCGCCATCCTCTTCTATATCGTCGTCGTTGAATAATATCGATGACCCATCAGTTGCAGGAGAAGCAGATGAACACAGTCCGGCTTATCAGAACAGCATGATCGAATTATTGATGCGACAACAGAAGCAATTTGAAAATTCAAAAAAAAGTCTTCCAAATGAAACAAATGATGATAACAGTGATAATAAAATATTAATTCCACCTCAAGTGCCATTTCATAATAATTTACCATTATCAACGTCATCATTGTCATCAGCAACACCAAAAAATCCCAACAAGCCATTTAATAAAACAGCTCAGCACCATAGTTTAACAAGTAATTTTAAAGAATTAAAAGAACTTAAGAAGTTTGAAGATTTGTCTATCAATAAGAAGTCAGTAACTGGCTTAGTGACATCAGTAGCAGTAGCAGCTGCTGCGGCGGCTTGTAATAGTGACACTGAACATATTTATGAAACAATTCCAGAGAGTGACAGCGAGCCGATTTATTCCTCACCGTATGAGAGTCAATACATGCCACGAGCATACGACTTGAATCAACAGCAGCATAATCAGACAAAGTTGTCGACCAAGAACAGCAGCAGTTCCATTGAAGAAAAAGACAGCTCGAGCGCTTATAACACAGGCGGTGAATCTTGTAACAGTAATCCGCTGCTGCTGGAGCTCTACAGAAGCGATCGCGATGGTGATGAGGGAACTATGGTACTCAATTCATTTGATGTTGGATCTACATCGACTGTGATAAAGTCTCCGGGTACTCCAATGTCTACGCCAATGAATTGTCGAGTTAAGTCTTTGGATGTGACGCCAGTTACGAGGTCTAACTCATCTTCTTCATCATTGTCAATAGTTACATCGCCTCGTCAACCAATCCCGAAGAGTCTGCTGAGTCAGGAAGATAAGAAATTGTTATCCGAAGCACATCATCATCAGCAGCAGCAACAGCAACAACAACAACAACAACAACAGCAGCAGCAGCAACAGTGTCATCACAACCATTATAATTATCGTCATCAATACTATCATCATCATCATCATTACCATAATTATCACAACAAACCGGTATTGAACCAAAACTGCCCGTCAATGCAAGAAGATAATCGTGACTTAGTTGGTACTAATAATCGTGATGATATTTTGTATACGAATATTGATAATGATAGTAGTAAGCATACGACAATGATATTACAACAGCAAATTTTTACTCAAGCACTTAATCGTAAAAATTTTATAACCAATCGTAATGCCTGCGAGGGTGAAAAAGACATAAGAATTAAGAATTCAAAGTCGCATGGAAAATTTCAAGCACCTAATTTAACTCAGTATCATTTTATTGGCAGTAGTCAGCAAATGCAGCGTAATACTGCAAATGAGGATAACACTGGTGGCAAATGCGACCCACGGATGGAGTGGAAGGTTAAGCGTAGACCTGATGGGACTCGTTATATTGCAAGACGTTCTGTTAGGAATCGCTTGTTAGGTAATCGTACTCTTGAGATTTTTGAAGAGCGTGCTGGTCAAACCACTGAAGATGATACAGTCTCTGAAATTAAGGTATATTCATGTTTTTAAAAGTTTATATTCGTAAAACTAAAAGAATGTTTGGTTCCGCTGACTTAAGAGTTGATCTGATGAAAATAATTGGGAAATTTTTCTCTTTTTTCATTTTTTGGTTTAAAATAATCTTCTAAAAAGTTAAAACGAATAATTATTGTTACAGCTTGGACGTTATTGGAGTAAAGATGAAAGAAAAAGGCACATTGAGCATGCGAGACAACGAAAGCTAAAACATCAAGCAGCTATGCTACCACCAACCCCACCAACTACTCTAGTATCTCAGCAACATTTGAAACGGCGTGATTTTAATTTTGAGCATCGTTCTGATGATCCCGTTGCAACAGCAGCAGCTTCAACCAAAGAATTATCTAAAAAGTTAATTCAAGATGCAGTAATGACTCATGTTAACAGAATTGAAGATAATCATGACGATGACGATGGTATTGGTGGTGGAGGTAATGCCGCTGGGGAGGACGATGAACTTACGATAAATGGAAAATTAAAAGGCTTATTATCCGTAACTACTGTCTAATGTATATAATATGAGTTAGCTATTATTTTATGTTATTATGGATTGTTTTGTGTATGTATATAGTTATAATTTAAAGCATGTGTGTTTAATGATTTTTTTTTTTTTTAATCAACTTATATCAGAGTAAAAAACAAATACATTGTTATTATAGTAATATAGAAAATACTTATTTTAATTGAACGTTCTTTAAATATTAATACATAACTGAATTACCGCAAATGCAAACAAAGACTAATTTATAGTTAAAAAAAATATATATATCAAACGTTACTGTATTTATTTGTTGTTATAATCATATATATCTCGAATTATTATATATATATATATAATATATATTTTTTATTATAATTATTATTTAACGGGCACTTTAAATGCATGGCGAACTGATAATATTGAGACTTGTTAAAATTTTGCGTTCCATTGGATTTAAATGTTGTATGTAAACTGGAAAACAATGGTGTTGTGAAAAATTTGTTAGAAAATCGCGTAAATAATTATTGAGGTTCAAATGGTAAATTGAATCCTCAAGAAGATCTGAATCTGTTTCTTCCTCCAGTGTTTTATCGTCATCCATTATATCTACAAAAAAAAAAAAAAATATGCACACAATATGTATGAAAAAGTATTTGTATTGTTTTCTGTTTATTAATTAAATAAATAAAAATTAAACATACTCATTAAATGAGGTGCACCACCTGGATCTACCCAGCAATTTTCGCCATCAGTCGTACCATCTCGTCGGTCCTCTTCTTCATCAGAATCCTAATTTAATAACAATTAATTTGTAAATATTTTAATCAATTTTATAATCTTTTAATTAATTAATTAATTAATTAATTTGGTTTTTGTTTAAATTTTTGTGTGTATTTGTAGAAAAATTAAAAAACTTTCCACAATCATGAATTTTGTTTTTTTACCTCAATGTCTTGGGTCACATCCTCATCATCTTCTTCACCAATTCCAGCGTAATCAGCTTCAATGTTATATGATAACTCGTTAATTATTAATTTGAATACCTTAACAAGAATTGGTATCATAGTCCATTGGAACGGCTGAGATTGCGTTTTACTTCTGGTTGTTCTGATGTTATCATCATTAGCTATTCCATAAGAATTAATCAATTGAAAATATTTCTTATTTGATTTACAAATTAATCAATTAAAAATAAGCAAGTACCTGTAAATACTTGGTCGCCTCTAACAGTAATTTCATTAAGTCGAAAATCATCAGGACGTGTAACACCATGTTCAAGGATTTTTGACAAAGCAACTATAGTTACTTTTCTAACGTAAGTTCCAAAAAATAACTGCTGTCTCTGAACCCATTCTGTTAAAACGAATGCCAGAGCACTTTCTCCTGTCGGGCCGGGAACTGTCGACAAGAAATTCAGCACCGCATCAAATTCAGCGTTTAACAAATGCGCATAAACCATTATCAAACTCTGCATAACTGTCAATGTTTCAGCTCGTTGCATTTTACTTAGTACTGCTTTAAGCAGCAGATCTAAATTTTCTCCCAAGTTATTACCAACTTTTTTTATAAGAGTTATAACCAGACGACCTACAAATGTTGCCGTGAATTCACTGGACTAAAAATTGAATTATAAAATTAAACATTTTTAAATAAATTTTTTATGAATTTTTAGTAAAAAAAAAAAAAGAAAAAAAAATATACTAACCTGAGGATTGAGTAATTGAGCAACTATTTGCAGTACGTACTGCAATCCTGTACGTCCTTCACTGTCTCGATGATCAATTATTTGTCTTGCCCCAACCAATAAATATGTACGTATAAGCTCACCACCACTTTGGAGTATTCCATTGTCATCAGAGTTAAGGATACAATGACATGCTGCTGGAAATGCTGTTTCGACTAAACTATTGTTCAATGGTTGAGGTGAAGATTTAACAAGGACTTGTAGAACATCCAAAGCTTCTCCTCGAGTACCCTCTTAAGTTAAAAGAAAAAAAAAAAAAACTTTTATCTGTTCTATATACTAATCAGACAAAGTATAAAATTAAAAGTTGTAATCTAATTACCATCAATATTTTTTCCAACTGGATTAACAGTAAGCATACTAACTAAAGTTGGAACCAATCGATTTTGTAATGGAGCTATACATCGTGGATTTTCAGTTAATTCTTTGAATATATCTTGACAAAGTGATAAAATTTCCGGATCACTTTGAAATTTAAGAAATACTGCTATTGTAAGTGGACATATTTTACTTTCAACACTCGCTGTGAAATCTTTATCTACCTACAATCAAATCATAAATTTATTAATATCTTTTTTTATTCAATAAAAAAAAAAAAAATCATAAAATTACCGCAATTAAAATAGAAAATGTCTCCATAATAAGTGTGAGTATTTCAGTGGATGCTTGATTAACAAATCCGAAAAGTTCTTCAAATATCACAGACAAATGTGGGCGTATAATATCCCGGGTCATGAGAGTATTCGTATTAACAGCAGCTTCACAAAACCAATATACTGCTTTAATAGAACTCATGCGAATACAGAGGGGCTGATTTGCTGGTAGACCAACGACAGCTGCTTCTAAAAACCGGGCACTTATTTCTGGAGGTATTTGATTTGCGTAGCGGCCTCCGAGGCATAAACAACGACCAATCAGATAAGGATGAGCAGCTTAAAATTTTTTAATATATTAATAATTATAAATAAATGATATGTAATGTGGAAATAAGTATAAAGTAATTACTTGGATCATTGAGAATTCCATCTAAAATAATGGTATTCAAAAATGCCACAAGATCAAAACGCAGAGTACCCTCTTGAATGTGTTCAATAACTTGCTCTTTTGCGATACTCAAAGCTAGAATAGCAGATTCACATATTTTCCAAGAAGGCGATGAAGACCAGGGTGATGATAATGATTGAATTGAACTGTTATTGTGGATACCATTGTTTTGTTGGATATTTCTATTACAAACTTGCATTATATTTACAGCCTCGATATGTCTTGTTATAACTTCACAAAGAGCGTTTATTGATGTATCTTCTGAATAACCTATTAACGACTGTAATAAATATATTAGATTATTTATTTTTTGTAAATTCCGAAATTCTTAAAATTTTTTTATATTATTTTATATATATAGAAATACATATCAATAGATAAGTACTTGAAGCGTGATATGAGTGAAGCACTATAATTAATAATAAACAATTTAAATTAAACGTACCGTTAAAAGATCCTGAGCAGATATACGAACGTTGTAGGAAAATACGGTTTGTTCATCTTCTTCAACGAACTGACTAGGATTTGCAGTCCACAACTCAACTTGTTCATGAGTGATTTGCATAAATATTATTAAATAATACATTGCTTCTTGCACTGAATTGATAATTAAATTCGCAAAGTTTTTGTGATCTACCAAGTTGTGGATAAAGTCGAAAGTGGCAATAATTAAATTATTGAAATTAATTATTTCTCCTAGAAAATATAAGAAAGTTAGTCTTACGGAGTCAACTCATAAACAAATATATGGGTGATTCTCTGTAAGGATGTTTTTCGCTGTCCCAGGCATTTTTTTATTGGAAAAATTGTTATTTTATTGCTGAAAAAAATTTGTTACGAAAGTAAAAAAACATTTCTATTTGGAGCATTGATAATTAAAATGAAATAAATTTTGTTCTTTTTGCTATAAATTCGTAAGCCACTGAAATAACAGTCCCCTGGGCTGTCCCATTCCCAAAATTGAAACTTTAAGATTAAATTTTAAGTTATTTGTCCATAATATATCATTTTGTCCATAATGTTTATAAACTTAATTAGTTAACTAACAATATTCTTCAATAAAAAGTACCGAAAATTAATTTATTTCATTAAATTCATGAAAACAAAGTTTGTCCCAGGCGTTTTAAAAACAGTCCCCTGCCAGAAGTTCAAAGCCAAAAAAAAAAAAAGGCCATTCGGCAGCCGAAATGGAAGTAGATTTTTCAAATAAAGAAAATTGATTTTTAATAAAATAATATAATAACACTAACAATGGATAACTTAATTAACAATGGATAACTTATTCATGAATTAAAAAATAAATTCAATAATGAATTGAAAACTATTTGGAACAAACTTTGGAAAAAAAATTATCTTGTGAAGAAAAAGTTTCTCAAATATTTACCAAAGAATTGCAAAGATTATAAGATTGTATTTATAAATGTCCAAAATTTCCGAGTTAATCAGAATTTTGAAACCAGATAAAATTTTAATTGAAGAAAACAATGTTTAAAACTAATTTGTGACATATTTACTGACAACCTACTCGAAAACATTACACGAAAGACTGATCAATATCGTAATTATTGAATTTACATCATATGATTGTAAGCTATGATGCAGACAATAATTCTAAAACGGCTGCAACAGTAAAACTGTTTCATTAAACGAACTCTAAAAGGAGTAATATTTAGGCTATTACCTTACTTCTGAGTAGTGAAAATTGAAGCTTATTAAAAGAGCTTTACGATGCATTTTACCGAATTTCAATATCTTGTCTAGTTCAATAATTATACCAAGTTGAAGTAGTAAAAACATCAATTTTTACGATTTTCAAAATTTCAAAATCCTGTCATTTCCAAATTACTCGCCCGATTAAGCTCATCTTCGAACTTAACCTTGGTCTTGATCGATAAATGAAGCATATAAATTGAAAACGTTATCGTGCTGACAAGCCGCGTTATATCGTATAAATATATAAATTTTGAACTATATATATTTTCTGACTCAGCTCGACAAACTGAGTCAGAAAATGACAAAATTTTTTGAAAGTTGCGCCACGAGAACGGCTGCAATAGTTAGATTTTTATAAAATCTACTAAAAAATCCAGCGTGCTATTTTACCTTTTGTAAGGTTTATAAGGACCTAACTAGCCTTAAGTTAATAACCACAGGGCTGTTAGCGCTTTATCGCCATTTTATTTAGTGTCGAAGCTCAATATTATTCTAATTAATGTAAACATTCATTGAAAACTTGAAAAGTTGAATGCATTGAAATAGTTTGCTAAAAAAAAAAACAGTCTCGTGTCATGTTATATGGCAAAAGACACACAAATATCGAAAAAACAAAAATTAATTTGGCTATTTATTTGTTATCATTAAGCTGATAGTTTCGTAGCCCTTGTTAATTTTTTTTCTTATAAAATCAAAAATAATTTGGTCGGACAATTTTGTACAGATTTAAGACGTCTTTACAGAGAATCACCCATATAAATAATTAAGTACTCCATAAAAAATAATTCATGTAGACTCACCATCTGAGTCTACAACAACATTCTCCTTGACATCGTGATCATCGTCACCATCTCCGCTGTCATCATGACTTAGAGGTACTCGGGTTATTCTCCTCGACAAAGTCTCCGAAGCTACGGATTCTTGTTGATAAATTTTAGCACTTTCTGTAAGCGTTTCCCAGACCGGAGGTAGAATTTGTGGTAAATACGCCGTAACAAATTTCGGTAACTTGGTAACTAGACAGTTGATAGCTTTTATAATATCTGTTTTGAGACCAATATCACAGGTAGGCGTGGTGTGAGACCCGTCAGAGGAGTGTTCTCTCAGACAAACGACAAATTTTTCACAAAACACTGGTATCACTGGTTTTAAACAAGTCTCAACAAAAGCCTTGTGGTAAATTCCTGTTGAGCCAACTAATGATGCTATTGTTGTGAATATTTCAACTGCTCTTCCTCTTGTTCTAATTGAATACTAAATATTGATAAAAAAAATTGAAATTATATACTTCAGTACGTGTCATAAGAGTAAAATTGGATCAACTAACGAAAAATGACGAGTAATAGAAAATAAATATACTAACACTTTCAGTGATGAAAATTCTGTACATTTCTTGAAGAATAATTGGACCAACGCTGGGAAGATTATCATCTGATAAGTCACGAGTAAATTCACTCAATACTCTCATTGCTCCATGTACAGCATATTCACTTTGAGCACCATTCAAACAATTAACCAGGATATCAAAAAGCCCTGGCCAATTTTCAGGCCAATCCCAGTGAGCTATTGCGGCTATTGCATATGCAACTGATACTCGTACCTACAATTTATCAATAATTATTATTCATATATTAAAAATTATAGTGAAAAAACGTGGAAGTGATAATATGAGTAATTTATAATGTCATAACTAATATATCGATACTGCCATTCTAATACGTCGTATCCCATAAAATTTGACAAATTGATTTTTTTTTTAACAATAAAATCATAACAATATTATGTAAAAAATATTTAAAATTTAGAGGTCAAATAGTTTAATAAATATTTTCATCCGTCGAATCCTGTTTAAGTTATGTTAAAAATTAACCATTTTTATCTTCTGCTGTAAAATTTTGTAAATGTGGGATACGATGTATTAGAATGAATTATTAAAATGATACTGAAATTGAGAGACATCTGATAATTTTTAGAATTTTTCTAACAAATACATCACAGCAAAAAAAATTTATTTAAAAAATTCCATCTTTAGTAGCTCTGAAAAATTGTAAATGCAATTTTTTTTAAATAATTTTCTAGACCTTGTTTATTTTTCAAGAAAAATAAAAAAAATTGTCAAGTGTCTGCTAACTTCAGTGTCATTAATTAAAATGATTAATTTTTACAAATAATCACCTTGCTGATAGATTCATGAAGACCAAGAGGTAGTAGTTCTTTTATTTTTTCCTTAGTGGTAGGTTTAATTTCAGGAGATCGGAATTTCTCAGCAACAGAGCACCAATGTGTCTCGACATACTGCTTCAGCAAAACCGATGATAGCTGCCTAATAGCGAGAGGTCCATTAACGTCGACGACAAATTCTGTTAGATGAATTCCGAATTCATCGGTAACTTCCAATGCCTGAATCCTCTGCTCAGCAGCGTGCCGAGTATCACGGTGTGGAGATAAAATGCCGTTTAATGTCTCGTAAAGAGCTTCCTTCAGTGAATTTTGTACATCACGCGTGTTCATATTCATTGCCATCATTAATTACTGAAATCAAAATTAAAGAATAAAATTTACCGGCTTTCTATTTTTATATTTTTTTATTATGAATCAACCTTGCTTATAACCAATAATTTTATCGCGGCATGATCTGTAAATCAAGTTAGATAAAGTTAGAGGTTATAATCAAATTAAATTAACTAACAAGTTATCGAAAAAATCATTACAAAATATATTTAAATTTTTAAATCAATCAATGTTAAAAACCATTTGAAAATAAATGTCCGTTGACTAAGTGATTATTAGCAAATAATAATAAATATATGTTTGTAGTAGACATTCCACCCACCTATAGATGTAATGATCGTATTTAATGATTATTTTAAAATTAAATTACTCTATTTAATAGCAATAGTATGATAATTATACAAACAATATATAAAATTATAAAACTTAATTCAATCTATCGATAAATCTATTACATTTTATGTAAACGTACTTTATATCTTAAATGAGAAAAAATTTTTTTCATAATAATTGAATAGGAATCACATACCAACATAATTTAATGTTGTGAAAAATGAAGCTTAAGGTTTCAATAGTTGGCAACACATTAATTATTTTACAAATATTACAAAATGAATAATTTTATTTTATTATAATTTCACAATGATACAGAAATCAGCGAACATATAGGTATCTGATAATTTTTTTTATTTTTATTATAAATCGATTATAAACAAAATATTAAAAAAAAATTTACACTTGTAATTCTTTTGAATTTTTAGATGTTGAATTTTTTTATTATAATTTAATTGTTATAAAAATCTAAAAAATTGACAGACATCTATTAATTTCAATATCAAGAATTTTATTTGTAATTCTCGGATTTTTATATTAACGTAGTTTTTTTGGTTTGACGGTCTGAATTTTAGGCTCTTTTTTTGGGAATTTTTTTTTGACGAACAATGAAAAGATAGAACTTTGAATTTTTTGTCATTTATTGATTGTTACTTAAAAATTTTGTAAAACAAATTATAAAAAGTTTGGAAAATCTAAAAGTGCACGCCTCATAACACTCATTCATTTTTTAAGAAAAAATAAATTGTGTAATTGATTAAAAAAGAAAAAAAAATTATGATTAAGTAATTTCTTTCAGGGAAATTTTTTTTTTTTTTTTTTTAAATATCAGCGCCCTTTTTTTCTTGTCATATGCGCACGCAGTCTAAAAAAATCTAGCTTGATCAAGTGGCGCCATAGTTTTCACGTGACAAATAAGAAAAGTTCGTTTGTCTTTGCACGGTTGTATCGTAGTGAATTTTAATAAAAATTCAATTTAATTAAAAAAATACGTAAACTAGGCTACTGATATGAAATACGGACCCAGTTCATCGCATTCTTAAACTAATAAAAAAAGTCCGGTCTTGAAATATCAATATGTTCGGGAGTAATCGTTGGTACATCCAAAATGGGGTGACATCCGGACGTCCACGTAAAATTTTTTTCAAAACATTTTTTTTTTTTAAAATATCTACATGAAATGATTTTAGAAAGTAAAAGATGGTTTAATTTAAGTGTTTTCTCGGTGTATATCTACTTATATCATTGTATAAGTGTAATATGGTTGTGATAGAGAAATTTAAAGATCCCAAAATTGCTTGACCTTGACGAGTCGAGTATAAAGCACAACCTCACGCGCTTCGCGCTATGAGGCGTGCAATAAAAGTCTCCATTGGAATGGAAGTTATACCACTCTGAAGACGCCTGGCTCGAAAAAAAACTGACGCTAACCTACGATAATTTTAACTAATTGATTCATGTGCATTGAAAAAAAAAAAAAAACGGCATTTTAATCTAGAAGTCTAAATGCATAGAATGAACTAGAATCATCCAAAAGTTCAAAGTATTTCTATTTTTCTGTAACGAAAAAAGAAAAGAAAATTATGAAATTTGAAATTTTTTTTCAGCAGTCTGACAAAAATCCAATTTTCAGTATTTTCAACTTATTCTAGTTCAGAAATACTTTAGAATCTTGAAAAAATAATCAATAAATGATAAAAAAAATTCCTAAAACAATGCATAATAAACTGACCGTCAAACCAGAAAACTCCCTTAATTAAAAAATTAAGAAATCGCTGTCCATGTGTAAAAAAATAATATTAGAGCAATTAAATATTTATGCTACTTTATTATGAATTTATAAGCTAATTACTATAAATTACTATAATTATTATTAACTATAGATTTTTATTTAAAAAAAAATTATTCAAAAAATTTTTTTCTCCTGTAAAAATTTGAACAAACTTTAAAATTAAAAATCTCGAATAAAATTAATTTCTTGTGATTGATTGTAATTGGCTTTTGTTATAAAAATGATTTTTTCATTTCATTGTTATGTAAAGAAGATAATTATTTTTTTTCTATAGACGTTTGACATGAAATTATTAAAAAGTTGAAAATAGTATAAAGGTTACTAATGAAAACTTGTCGTATTATTATATGTTTAAACTTTACTTTGATTAATTTACATATAGTATGAGCGTATACGACATAACTTTGGATCTAGCAGACATTAATGTAATTGATATAATTAAAAAAATAATTAATAAAATGTAAATAAGTTGAAAGTAATATATGCATTTTTAAAAAATTTTACTTTTTTTAATTATTAATTTATTTATTTACAATTTAAATAAATTATTTTATGTCTTCTAAATTGATGGATGAAAATTAAGTTAGCCGACATTTAAAAATTAAAAAGAATTTTTTTATTGAAAAAATGACTACAAAAAAAAAAAGAAAAAAAAATTGTCATTTGTTAAAAACCTCAAAAACTGTAAGTGCAATTTTTTAAAAATATTTTTTTGTTCTAATTTAATTATTAAAAAAAAAAAATCAAAAAATTGAAAACGTCGGCTAACTTTAGTATCATAATTGATGGTCATGCCTAAGACATACAAATTTAGATTTACTAAACTTTTTTTTATTTAACATTGTATTTTTCAGTATTTTAAATTCGTAAAATTATTCCCAAAATTATATATTTAGTTTCCGTGTTCTAGTACATAATTCAGTTCGGAATGTTGACAGTCTGACTATTTGACCACATTGACCACAACTGAAGAAAAATACACTGGGAAAAGTTGGTAACACTGAATATCATTATATTATGGTTATAAAATCCTTGAAAAAACAAATAACCAGAACAGCTGGTGTACTGTATCGTATCATACAAAGCATTGGTAAAAATTTTTTTTTTAATTTTTCGACGTATACTGTCTTATTTGATAAATAATATATTTTCTAAACAATCTGACGACGTAAGTAACACTTTACTTGATAAGTAATCCCCAAAGCACCTTTATAATAATGATCATGGCTTCACACTGAGTAAACACTATAAAATCATAATATATTAGAGTAATAATTATATTTTCAAACTATATTTTTCTTGGGCCTAACCTACTTTTAACCGAACATACGATTTGCAGTTTAGGACATAAGGTCAAACGATTAATTCCATTCTAAAATAATTGTTTAACATAAATTAGCATAAATCAACAGCAGCTATCAGGCAGTAATCATTTTTACTTCATCCACTTATTTATTTATTTATTTATTTATTTATTTATTAATGTAATTGTAAGTAATATTTGTAATTTTTATTTAATAATTAATTTTTTTTATAACTGTTTTAGACTTAACGAAAATATAATTGGAGTTTTAAACACCTCGTTGAAATAAATAACTATCAACATGACGGAGGACATGTTAGGAGCTGATATCTGCCGAGTGTGTAGATCAGAAGGTCTATCGGATCGACCACTCTTCCACCCATGTATCTGCACTGGCAGTATCAAGTGGATCCATCAGGAATGTTTACTTCAGTGGATGAGATACTCGAGAAAAGAGTACTGTGAATTATGTGGCCACAGATTTTCGTTTACGCCGATTTACAGCCCAGATATGCCGCGACGTTTACCTTTGAAGGACGTCGTCGGCGGGTTATTTTCGAGTGTCGTAACAGCTGTCAGTTACTGGTTTCATTATACTTTGGTGGCATTGGCATGGCTGGGTCTGGTACCTTTGACTGCTTGTCGTACTTATCGGGCATTATTTAGTGGATCATTAGATCTAGTAAGAGTAAGTTATTATTTTTATTATAAATTTTTATCAGTTTTTTTAATAAAGCGTCCACTTTTAATTTTTTACTGAAAAAAGTACATGCTTAATTAAATAAATTATTTTTAAATTAATTCATTAAGATTTTCTATTTTTTTTTTCTTGTTTTGAAATTTAGAAATAGCGCTGCATTTTATTATAATGTTAAAATTATATTTATACTTTGTTTCTAAACAAAAATTATTTTTAAAAAATCTAGTTTGAAGTAAAACTTATTTTTGTAATTTTTTTTTTTTTTTTTTACCTCAAAACACACACTAACAATTAATATATAAATAATTATATTGAATTAATTACAGATAATGTCACTACCCATGGACATGCTGTCACTCGACAACATATCATCAGACGTGTTCCACGGGTGCTTCGTCGTAACTTGTACTTTGTTTGCCTTCATCGGACTGGTATGGTTGCGAGAGCAGATCCTACACGCAGGTGGACCTGATTGGTTGGAAAGAAATGTCCAGCAGTTACCAGCGGCTGGAAATAATCAAGCGGCCGTAGGACAGCAACAGGTACAAGATCTTCCTGGACAACCCGAAGTCCGAGGTGACAACAACAATGTCCCGCCATTCGTTGACGAACCTCCGCGTCCAGCAGACGGTAACGACGATGACGAACAGCCGATGTACCGCGAAGTCGCTGACAACAGTCCCAATAACGCAGTTGCAGCCGAGGCTGAAGAACCTAATAACGAAAATGAAAATCCTGAAGAAGCTCAAGGTGACGGAGCCGCAGTAGGATGGCGCGGACAAGTGCAGGATCAAGCTCAAGCCCCCGGAGAAGCCGAGGAAGCCAACTGGAATCCAATGGAATGGGACAGACCTGCTGAAGAACTTACTTGGGAACGTCTACTCGGACTAGACGGTTCGCTTTTATTTCTGGAGCACGTTTTTTGGGTGATTTCTTTAAACACTGTATTCATTCTGGTGTTTGCTTTTTGCCCTTACACCTTCGGGTACTACACAATTGCCGCCCTGGGACTTAAAGAACACGCCGCTGCATCGCACTTCGAAGGATTGGTAACGACACTCTGCGGGTACGGCGTAATCGGAGCCATCCTTGTGATTTTGCACACAATAGCCGCACTATTTGGTTTGCAACGTTCGCAGCGTGTCTTAGGGCTGGGTTACGTAGTTGTGAAAGTATCTCTGCTCTCGGTAGTCGAGATTGGAGTGCTGCCTCTGGTCTGTGGCTGGTGGCTCGACATTTGCTCATTGGCTATGTTTGACGCGACACTGAAGGACCGTGAGTCGTCATTCCGACTAGCGCCAGGAACATGTATGTTTATTCACTGGCTCGTTGGGATGGTATACATCTACTACTTCGCTTCCTTCATCCTCTTGCTCCGCGAAGTGCTAAGACCTGGCGTACTATGGTTCCTGCGGAACTTGAATGATCCAGACTTCTCCCCAATTCAGGAGATGATTCACTTGCCGATTCTACAGCACGTACGTAGACTGATAGTGTCTGCGGTTATCTTCGGCACGGCTATTTTACTGATGCTCTGGCTGCCAATCAGGCTCTTGAGATGGGCATGGCCTGGGTTTTTACCTTACACAGTGACCGTGCAGACTGAGTCTCAAGTAAGCGAGTTATCATTGGAGCTACTGCTTTTGCAAGTGATTTTACCGGCGTTGCTAGAGCAATCGCACACGCGAACCTGGCTAAAGGCACTAATTCGAGGATGGTGTCAAGCTGTCGCCTGGATACTCGACCTTCAGTCTTATTTGCTGCGTGACCAGCGAGATGATCAGCAAGGACCCGCTGTAATTGAAGAACCACAGCACCCAGGACTGGGCGCCGCTCATCAAGCAGCAGCTCAGCAAGCTCAGATGCTGCATCGAGACATTCCTACTGGTTATCAACCATATGTACGGACAAAATGGTTTCCGGCGAGACTTGTTGGACTGTTGATATGTGTCTGTATTTCTCTGGTAATTGCCAGTCTCATTGCTATGACTTTGCCAGTCTGGTTGGGACGCAGGGTTATGGCACTATGGATGGTTGGAGCTCCTGCACCTTCACCACCTGTTTTACCACCAACTCTATCAGTAAATAGTTAGTATAAATAATTTCTATAAAAAATTATTTTTTCTTCTTCATTAGTTTAATTATTTTTATTAAAATTATTTAATTGAATTTATAGGTGTAGGCGAAGCCATGGTCGTATTCTCAGGACGAGTTCACGAGATTTATACCGTCGCTTGCGGTACTTACGTTTGTTGGGCAGCAGCTCGTGGGCTAGCTCTCGCACTTTCATGGTTACCTCGCGGTCGGCGAGCAATCTTGGACAGAATAAAACATTGGGCGATTGTTAGCGTGAGAGCTTCGATAGCTTTTGTTCTGCTGGTCGGCGTAATACCGTTGCTATTTGGCCTTTTATTAGAATTAGTGGTAGTGGTACCGCTCCGGGTACCTTTGGAACAAAATCCCATTTTATTTATATGGCAAGATTGGGCACTAGGTGTTCTTTACACTAAAATAGCGACGGCCGTGATAATGATGGGTCCCGAGTGGCGACTTCGTACTGCTATTGAAAAGGCTTACAATGACGGTGTCAGGGAAATGGATCTTAAATTCATAATAAAAGAAATAGCAGCGCCTGTTATTTGTGTCTTTGGACTGGCACTAGCAGTACCTTATGCCTTTGCTTATGGTATTGTACCATTATTCGTAACAAATTTACAAACACAAATACTGATCGCTAGATGTCTTTATTCCGTACTACTTTGGATAATATTTGTTTGTGTTTTGATAGTATTTCACATACGACAATTTAAAAAACTTTATGAGAGAATTAAAAATGACAAATATTTAGTGGGACAGCGGTTGGTTAATTACGAGCATCGAAATAAACAAGCGCAGAGAGTTACTAATTAATTTATAAATTTATTCATTTTTAAAATAAGGTACGTGCAATGTGACGCGGTATGATTTAGGTTTAGCTTCGTGTACATTCTTATATTACAATCCTTTATTTACTAATAACATTAACTAAACATAATATATTAATTATAATTATAATAATACTAAATCAAAGATAATTTATGCAGTTCCAGTTAATAATAAATATACTAGTTTTTTTTTTATTCTTCATAAATATTTTAATATTTTTCTTTTAATTTATTTTAATATAAAAAAGGGAAATGAAAATAGAATAATAATTATTTAATTATTAACTGGAATAATATGCGTAGTTTATTATTGATAGAGGACTTTTGAAATAATTAGTGGTGTTAATAATGTAATTTATAAAGAAACGATTTAAAAAAATATTTTTATGTAGGCGATGCTAAATAAATCATAAAGACTGTGTTTGTTTTCCAATGTATCGCTTTTAATTGTTATTAATATTGAAAATTGAGACAACAATGTAGATTGTTTATTTAATAATTATTTATCTTTTTTTCATCGCACAATATTATCGCTTTTACTAATTACTTCATTACTTATTATTATTATTATTATTATTATTATTATTATTATTATTATTATTATTATTATTATTATTATTTGCCGTAGATTTATTAACTTCCAATTTAAATTGTCTCCAAAATTACAAAAAAAAAAAAAAAAAAAAAAAAAAAAAAAAAATTAAAAAAATTAAAAAAAAACTTTGAAGTTGTATAACATTATTTAAAATAAAGTAACAGTAGTTTGTAAATTTAAAAGAGCGATAAGTTATTATTAATTAGTAGTAATTGATAAAGAAATGTATAAAAGATTAATATAAATTTATCTATTGACAATTTATTAATTGTCGGTCAATAATCTGAATTATTCGAGATTTATTATCAACATTGAAAGGATTAAAAGTGTGGTGTAGTTGGTTGAATTTATATTCACAAGATTACTAATGATAATCATAACATTAATGATTAACAATAACTTAAAAGCGACATTCAATTATCTGCAACAATTACTTTCTTTTATTTTTTCTTTGTTATCAAAAATGTTTAATTCAATATGTAAAATAAAATAATATGCGGATACACGTATGAATCTATTATAATGTAAAATTTTTTCTTAATTAAAATAAATAATAATTTTTAATAATAAAAAATTCATTTCCTTTAATGTTAAAATAAGTGTTTTTAACACCACATTTTATTTTAAAAAATTTTTATTTAAATTTATTGTTTATTATAAAATTATTAAATATATAAACAATAAAATAAAACTATTTCGTAATAAATATAAAGTATTTTATTCGTTTCAATTATAAATAATAATTTATCACAAAATTCTCGATAATTTTAATCAAATTTATTTAAAATTCAATTTTGCATTAATTTAAAAATTTTATTTGAGTAAACTTAAAAAATAACATTATAGTTCTTCCATCCATTCAGTTTCGCGGCGCAATCTTTCCTCTTCTTCTTCAGAGAAACCACTTTCGCCGCCGAAAAGTTCTCTTCTTAGGACCATGGGATCTGTATTTTCAAAAATTTCTGCTACTGTTTTACATGCACCGGAAAGTAAATCTAGAACAATGTATTCATCGGATGCCTGGATAACTCGAAGAAGCGTATTGATATCGAGACTCTGAGAAAATGAAAAGGTAATTAAATAAAATCAAAATAAATTATTAAAGTGATTATTAAGAATTCTTAAATCAGTAAAATTTTTTTTTTATGTTGTTTAAATTGAAAAATATTACCGATAATTGGTTTGAATCTTCAGGAGTCAATGTAACGTCAACTTGTTGAGTTGGTTCAAATGAAGATCGGCCAGGATCATTCATATGCCTTTCTGCCCAAGAAACTATTTGGCTGGCTACGCTGGTCGGAAAATGGGGCAATCTTATTTCATTAAGACCACCAGAAAATGAACTTCGCGCTTCATATAAAGCTCTGTAAGGTTGTAAAGCAGATCTTCGCGCACGAATATTGCCATCACTGCATCGAATAGTCACAAAATCTCCACTGCCTCGGTTCATCTAATAGTTTTAAACACAGAAAATTATTATTAAAAAAATATTTCTTTACTTATACTTTTTTAAAAATATTAACCTTTTAACGTTTTTAGAAATTTTTATTAAATCTAATTAAGAAAAGCTGAACAGTAATAAATAATTTTCTTCTTTCGAGTCGTATTTATACACCAAAGTATGATCTAGAAGCAATAAGATTTTCTGATTTTTTCGATATTAAATTTGTCTATTACACTAGAAAATTCTACTCGATTTTATTGCTTCTATTCAGTATTTTCAATTACTCAGACTTTCTAGACTTTTTTTTAATCATTATATAGTTGACATTATTACCAAATATCGCTTAAAATTATAGTAATTTTTCCAATATCGTAAATGGTAAAAATAATTTAAAGATGAACACAAAAATGTTAAATTTTTCTTCATAGATTTTTAATGATTGATCATAAAGGAGAAAAAAATTGTTTGAAAATTGTATTATTTTTGTGATAACCATTCATAACTATTCTATTTAATAATTATTCTATCCTGATAAGTATAAAAAAATCAAGAATAATAACAAGTAAAAGTTTAATAAAATCTCTAAAAGGTTTATAACATTAAATCAATTGAAAACTGTTCAATAATTATTTCATGCATAAAATTACTTTCATAAACGCTAAGTTGAACTTGAAATAAATAACAAGTATTTTATTTGTTAATCCTTAATGACTGAAAAATTGAAATAAAAAATTAAAATCGTATTATTTATCAAATTGTGATTTATTTTTTTTTTTTTAATTAACAAAGATATTTTTTATAAACGTTATATATCCAAAGTATTGATTTGAGATTAAAAAAAAAAATTATTAACTATCTTATTATAATAAGATTACTTATTAAAAAAGCAAGAATTGTTCAAAAGGTATTCCTTTTTCTTCTTTATTATATAAAACAGTTTATTACATAGTTAAATATTATTATATTTTGTAAAGGTCACTTAAAGTTCGTCATCACTTCCAAGAAAACCTTCCTCTTCATTTAAAGAATCACCAGAGGCGAAAAATTTAGCTTTTAGTTCAACAAGATTCATATTCTCGATGATGGGAGCTACTATTTGACATGCACCATCTAACAAATCCATCATATCATATTCATCTGCGACTTGGACAATTTCTAGAATAATATTATTGTCAACGAGCTGTCAAAAAGTGAGAAAAAATTATTTAAAATAAAAAAATAAGTATTAATTGATGTTTCATTGAAAAATTACGTTTAAACTTTCTTCATCATCGTTACTTAAGGTGACTGTTACAGGATTTTCGGTGTGGTCAAATACGGTGCGTCCTACATCATGCTGATGTCTATCAATCCAGTCGACAAGTATCTTTAAAGCATCTACGCTAATGTCGTAGAGTGAAATTACGCTATTTTTGTCATTACGGTGTTCCACTTTAGAATGAAGACTTGGATAAAATCTAACGGCGTCTTCATCGACTTGCAAATTTATTTTACGATTACAAAATATTACTTTTTCTGCCATTATAGGTCATTTATGTACAGAAGTTATAAGTTTTATAATCTGAAACATTTGAAGTAGTTAGAATTTTTTAAAAAATATCAATAAATTACGAGAAATGTTTAGAACATTTTAGAAATTCTAAATTTTTTTTATACTTTAAAATATCTATAGTTAAATAAAAAAATGAATCGATGGTTGAAGTAAATCTAAAAAATTGTTTTTACTTTATCTGTATTTAGACAATTACTTCATAAAAAAAAAAAAAATTTCCAATTATCTTTTTGTCGTTAATTTTGTTTATAATTATTATCACTTTGATTTTGTCAAATTATAGCATATCAAATCTAGAAATTTCTAACAATTTTTTACTCAGATATTTAAATTTCAGTTTCCCGCGTTTTTGCGCTGATCCGCATGCGCAACGGAAATGGCGAGTTGTTGATTTCCGTTGATGCTGGTCATATCAAGTCTAGTCACTGGTTTCGCTGCATGTTTTTTCGCAAGTTCTTTCGTGGCGTTTTTAAATTTTTAATACATTTATGAAAATATTAAAATAATTAAAAATCAAACCAACTCAAGTTCATTAATTCAATATAATTAATATAAAATTTTCTGGCCATAAAAATATAATGAAAAATTTCACAAGTTAGCAGCCGCCAGAAAATAAATTACATATTTTATTTTAAGGTAGATAGATAGATAGACAGATTTGCTTTATATATTATGCCAAGGCCTAATGGCCGAATGGCAATCTTATAAAAAATACAGACATAATTAAGGGTACATTATATATACATACAGAAATAGTTAAAAGTATACAATTAGAGTGGTAAATTAACAATATTGACTAGTATCATTATTATTAATCATGTTAGTAATTGCTATAGTAAGTATTTAATTATAATCTATTCTAAATTTAAAAAATATAAAAAATAAATAACATAAAAAATATCACTCCGCTTTAACCAATTTGCTTTAAAAAATTCAATAAGTAATAATAAAATTTAAATGAGTGTTGCTTAAATATCCAGATTAAATAAGTGGTCATACATATGTTATTTTTAAAAAAACTACTCCACTAATACGAAGGGGATAAGGTGTCAAATTTTTTTTACTAAGTTTAATTTAAATGGTATTTTGAGTTAATGAGAATTAATTTTTTTCAAAAAATTATTGTGTCGAATATTTCACCAGAGTGTGGTCTTAGTACACTGGCTCTCTCTAGTTGTCATACAAATATTACATCAAACAACTATATTCGGGCATGTATATTGGTGTGCATTATTACTCTACACCAACATATTACATACTTCATACTATTGTCGTTAAAATCCAACTCAACATTCGCAATAATTATTCCAAATCGAAATCCAGCTCCAATAATTAATAAATTTATTTATTATTGTCTTCTAATAATAATAATACCTCTTACATAAGTTTTAAAAATAAGAACTGCTGTGTAACAAACAATAGTGCTCGTGAGAAAAATAGTTAATGACAATTATTAACCAAGTAAATTGAATAATTGCAGTTGGGAACTTGTGATCTTCATCGGGAGCACACCATAAAAGTCATTGATCGTAGTCGTAATTTTTTTTAAATCAGTGTCACATATTTAAAGATTTTAATCAGCAATTACTGTTATAAATTTATAAAAAATTTTTTATTATACACTTAAATTATTTTTAAAATAGTATTATAAAGATTTTAAATGCAACGTGCAATGAATAACCAACAATTAAATATTTGCAAACAGTGTAATTATTGATAATGAGTTAGTTGTTAATCAATATTTATCGGAGGTCGGTTATTGATTATTTAAAACCGATCCAGTGTAATTGTTTTTATTTATAATAATAATAATAATAATAATAATAATAAATAATAATAGTAACGATGGCTGCTACTTTTGATCAATATGATAAATCTAGGTAATTATTGCATTTATTTTTTTTTATTTATTATTTATCTGCTTATATATGTTATTTATTGTTGATGATTTGATATTTTAGCTGGTACTTTGGTGCAATGTCACGGCAAGATGCATCGGATTTACTAATGGGTGAAAAAGAAGGTGGAGTTTTTTTAGTAAGAGACAGCACATCAATACACGGTGATTTTGTGCTGTGTGTTAGAGAAGATAGTAAAGTTAGTCATTATATTATTAATAAAATTCAACAAGCTGATCAAATACTTTATCGTATTGGAGATCAAATATTCCCAGATATTCCAAACTTATTGGCGTTTTATAAGTTACATTACTTAGACACGACGCCGCTTATTAGGCCAGCGCCGAAAAAATTACAAAAAGTTATTGCTAAGTATGATTTTGAGGGCAATGATCAAGATGACTTACCATTTAGAAAAGGTATTTTTGTTTTTTTATTTCAATTTATTAGTTTATGGATAATTATTATATTTTTGATTAAGTTTCATTGATATCAGGAATTCTAACTGTTGGGTACTTTTTTTATATTTTAGGTAAACAGAATTTTTTTTCTTTTTTAAGTAAAATATTTTCAGAGTAATTGAAAAAAAAAAAAAAAAAAAAAAAAAAAAAAAAAAAAAAAAAAAAACCAATTCAAACTTTATTTAAATACTTTGAATTATTTTATTAAAATCGTGCTCCGAAAAAAATCTTCGGCAGTTTTAATATTAAATGTTTCACCGAGAAAATTTATGAATTAAACCTATTTTTGAAGAAACAATTATATCCTTAACATTTGGAGCGATTTATTACTATTAATAGTAATTTAGCTGTAATTTATTATTCAATGAAATCGAATTGATTGAAAATCCTTTTTCGAGCGAAGGTTTTTATGATTATTTTAAGATATTCTTTGAATTATGCAAATTATCACAACCGCAGACATAGATGGTTTTATCGATTGTTTGAATTATTTATTAAGAATTATGATTTTTGAAATTAAAATTACAAAAGCACATTTGTCACCATGGTTATAATCGGTTATGACTAAAACGAGACACATTTACCTATGAATATAAGTATATAATTAAAAAAAAGATTGAAAAGTATTGTACGTTATTTTAAAGCTACTCCAATATTTAAAAAAATTATAATTAATTGATGAAAAATCTTATAGGTGAAATATTAACAATAATATCAAAGGATGAAGAGCAATGGTGGACAGCAAAAAACAACGTCGGACAAAAAGGATCAATCCCAGTACCTTACGTTCAAAAATACGAGGAAGAAAATCCGGCTAATGCAGTCGATAGTGCAGTAAGTGGAGTGCAAGAGATAGGTAGCGGTGGTGGTTCTACTTCAAATTCTATAAATCTTTCATCACAAGCGATATTACAGCAGGCACCAGTTAGTCAGGATTCGCCAGTAGTAACAACAACCCAGCAACAGCAAGTGACACGTCGTTCAAATATACAAAGAACATTACCGGCATTTGCAAAAGTTAAACAAGCACGAGTTCCTAATGCATACGACAAAACCGCATTGAAGTTAGAAGTAGGTGATATTATTAAAGTGACTAAAACGAATATTAACGGACAGTGGGAGGGTGAGTTGCATGGTAAGACTGGTCATTTTCCTTTTACACATGTTGAATTTGTTGAGAATGAGCCGAATGAAGAAAGTAAAGACGTATGAGAGAATATATAATATAGAATATATATATATATATAAATACATATATAAATAATTATTACGATAAATATATTATTATTATAAATTAAATATATATATATGTTCTTCCATACTATTATTTCTTGAGGTTGTTACCAATCAAAGAGTTAAGTGATGTATAAAAATAACTTTATCATTTCATATTGCCATTAGCTAATGCGTATACCAATTTACATGTACCATTTATTATAGATATTATATATTACTATTATTTAATATGATAGCATTTGTAAACATGGATTCTTTATAATAGTGTACAGAAATTCCATGGCAGCGAATCATTTTTTACGTGCAGGATATTACAATAATATTTTTTAATTATTCATTTTAGATATTAACGACATTAATAATTAATGAATTACGTCTTACAAAAACATTTAGCGGTGACTGGTTAGAAGATCTACGGAAAAAAATTCAATCAAACAATTTTTTAAATTCCTGTAAATTTTTTGTGACTCTACTCATTTACTTCTTTATATTTTCTACTTCTTGCTTTATTTTTTCAAAAGTAATAACTCGAAAAAAAAATTTTTCATTTGTTATTTTTGTCACAAATTTTTTTCCGTGTATTTTCTGATCAAGAGCCAATTTAGCTGATTTTGATTTACTTGGTGGATATTAAATCTTTTTTAATATTTAATAAATAATTCAATGAATATAAGCAATGAAATACTCGTGAGCTTGAATTTATTTAAAACTACGAGATGTATACACGAGTTTATAGATTCTTTTAGCACTCGTTAAGATTTAAGGGTCGGATGTTTTTAACATTTTATTTTAATGGTTTTATTATTTTACTACCTATAAATGATGGTAACTTTAAGCGTATCTTTAGTTAATATTTATAATGAGTTAATATTTATTTAGTGTACATTTGAAACGTAATGGGAAAAATATTTTTACATTAACACTTCAATCGGGTTTTCTGTCACGTTTCATGTGTGTAATACATATTTATATGTATATAAATTGTAGCTGTTAATTTTCTAGTTATACATCACGGCCCGGATGTCTGACAAATAAATAAACCAGGTAACCCGGATCAAATTTTAAATGACCCTGGAATTTAAAAATATAGTTGAGGAATGAATTTTATTGTAATGTGTAACGATGAGGCTAAATGCTTTAAAAAATTTTATAGAATTAATCGAATGTGGGTTACAAAATTTGTGATCAAAAGGAACTAATCAACATTTTTTTGTTAAATAAAGATGTAATTTTGTGATCAAATTTTTTTTAACAACGAAATCATGAACGAAAAATCAAAAGATAAATAATCAACTGGTTTTTTGTAATTTTAAAAATTCAAATCAAAAGGTTAAAAAATTGTTGCTTTGATAATTAAATTTTTGTTATACAAAAGAAAATAACAATCAAATGAAACGCGTGAAAACATAATATTTCTAATGAATAAAAAAATGTATATCGACTCCATATAGTTATAATTATTATTTACAATCAGATGTATACCACTGTAAATCAATTGCATTTATTCATTTAAATAGAAACAATATATTTTTCACTTAAGTTTATCTTCAATAATCATTTCAATAGACAACCCACCGTTAGTAAAAAAAAAAAAAGAAGTTTAAATTGTCATATCCAATAAGTTTTATTTAATTTTATGAAAGTAATTAATAATTATAATAGATAATTGAAAAAGATTTAATTTTAAAATAAAAATGATGACTTGATAAATTATTAAAAGATCTGAGTGTGACTCGAGTATCCTATGACTGAATTAATTGTTACGCTATTATAGATTATCACTGGCCGTATATTACATTACCCAGAAACTCCCAGCTTTCTATGAGTTTAATTGAGCGTTAATAATATTTAAATCCGTGAAGAAATTTTGTCTATCGCTCCGGCTATTATTCCATTGTGAGGATTTTCACAACTTTTTATTATCTTATTTCAGTCCAAGAAATCAAAAGTTTTAGAAATAAAAAAAAAAAAATTCCTTTAAAAAAACCAATTAAAAATTAAATAAAAATTGTTAACGATAATGAAGATAAAGGTCTATAGTATGTATTCATCGGCCCCTACGGGAATTTCAAGCGCTTCGAAATAGCAATGGGATATAGAATGCAAGTACTTGCTACTGTAACTTCACCGGCCACCTTTCCCACATTAATCATTTAATATGACGTTCTAATTGAATTGCGTTGTTTACCGAACCGCGATTTTAGTATACTTGCTTCAACTCACTTACTCTCCGATTTCGCTCTATATATTACATATATATCTATAGTATATTTATGTATATATTTATTATATGAAAGATTATATGTTGTTTCAGTTCAAAACTCGTGTTGTTACGACTCTATAGCTAAGCTTTTTCTGAGCGCTAATTAATGTCGTAATAAACTTTTAAATATTATTACGATTTATATATTAAGTAAACATGAGTCTGTAGCTGACTTTTTAATTTCCAATAAAATGCGAAAATATAACCAGGGTTCTAAGCCTTTATAAAAATGTCCTTTATACATTTTTAATAATCTCTTCGTTCATTTAACTTCTAATTTAAGATTCATTCTATTGACACAAAATAACAGTTTCAATTCTGAGTCTGATATAATTCGTCAAGCTGTAAGTTTTTTATTTTAGCTTCCGAAGTGCTGTTATCGTTATCACACTGTAAAAATCGTGAGTAAATTCAGAGTAAATTTCACTTCTATCACTCGGAGTACCGGAGTGAAGAAACAAATACTTCGCATACGGAGTTCTTAGACTAAAATAAATTTTTACTCAGCTGAAATAAGTTTCATATGCTAATTTTTTTTTTCGTCGGAATAAAAAAAATTTTAATTAAAAAAAAAATTTTCTTTTGTCAGTATAAAAAAAATTCATTATTTAATTTTAAATAAGTAGTAAATTTCAATTATTTTAATATTAAAAATCTCAGTACGCATTTTGTAATTGTTAAACGAGTATCAACTATTTTTTACTTCCCGCTAAAAATCTCAGATTTTCAAAAATCGGGAAGTTATTGTTTTCACCCCGTTTTACAAAAATCGAGTTTTCATCAGATCTCGACGTTTGAAGGTCACAGGAAGCTTCCCTGACTATTTTTACGATGATGTCCGTACGACGGTGTGTGTGTGTGTGTTTTTTTTATAGAGGAGGTAAAATACATTTACGTATGCCAGGGCTTGGTGTTGTTGCCAGGACTAGGTGTTGGTGCCTGGGTATGTCGGACTCGGAAGTCAATATTTGCAACAATACCGACTAAACATCCTCCTCTCTCCTTTCCCTATAGATGTTACAGGGATGACTGGAACGGGACCGCGTTAGCATTACTTCAATCCAGTCCATGTTGTGTCTCATGACACCTACTTCTTGTTACTAATTACTGGTTTCTAATCCCTTTCTGCGATTTTTTCTTTTAAAAGGCGCTGCGCGTAGGCTGCGACAGCTGACCAATTTTCTTCTTTTTTTATCATGCAGGTTACCAAGCTCTCAGGGAAGAGCGTGGTGCCTATTGTTTCTTCGGTGCTGGTTCTCCACCGTCCTTCCACCGATCACACTCGAAAAACGTGTGCTTGGCGTTGTCAATTTTGTCTGGGCAGTATTTGCACGTTGGTGTACTGTGCAAACCCATCTTGAAAAGATAAGCATCGAACTGCCCATGTCCCGTCAATAGTTGGGTCAGGAAGAATTCCGTATCCCCGTGCTTCCGAGAAAGCCAGACGTTGATGTTTGAGATCAGGCGCGCCGTCCATCTGCCCATCTCTCCCGATGTCCATCGGTCCTGCCACTCTTGCTGCGTTTCCGCCTTTATCCTCGTTCTTGCGTCCATCATGTTTTCGTCACTGATTTTAGCATCATAG